TCTTTATATTCTATTCCATGTGGTTTCCTGCTATGCTCCTAGTCTATTTTGGGGGGGGAAAAAGCATAAAACAAGTTTATTTGTGGTATAGAGTCTGGGATGGCACAAGACAAAGGCCCAGTGTAAGCAGACTTTCCTTCCTGAGCAAATCAAAAGATATTGGAAAAATCTCACTGTGACTCCATCTTTAACTTTTAAATTCTCAAATGTAAGGATTATTATTAACTAAAGATCAACTGATGTTATTCCCAAAGCTCAAAAGCTCAGAGCCAGAAAAACAGTTGCAAATGTATCTTATAAATTAAAGTCCAAGTGTTTGATTTTTGAAAAGCAATATTTGTTGATGATGGCTCTTCTGATGCATCACTCGTCTTGTTATAGTGATACACTGTATAATTACAATGCCTGATCCATCTTCCCTGGTCTAAGTAGAGAATAGATGTTGAGGTGGTTAAATGTCTTTTTAAAAACACTTTACTGAGATAACCTTACTCTTTAGCTCCCGTTGACGTCTTCTGTCTTGCAATTCAGACCTCCTCAACTTACCCGGTCTGTCCTTAAAACCCTCTGAACCCAGGCACAACCTAGGCGTCGTGTTCGATCCCCAGTTATCCTTCCTCTCCCACATCCAGTCCCTGCCCAGGACCGCCTTCCTCTGCCGCATTACCCGTCTCCGACAATACTTCACTCCACAAGCTGCTGAAACCCTTGTCCACACCTTCGTCACTTCTCAGCTGGACTACTCAAACGTCCTCCTTGCTGGTCTCCCCTCCTCCAATATTCACAAAATTCAACTCATTTAAAACTCCGCCGCCCTCATTCTTACCCGCACTAAACTGCAACAACAAGATTACATTTGTATAGCGCTTTTCATGTCGGGAGGACGTCCCAATTACACCCCAATTAGCCCAATAATTGCCAAACTCTATTGGCTATCTGTCAATTGACTTCAAGATCGTCACTCTAATGTTTAAATCCCTCCACGCATTGGCACCCCACTATCTCTCCAACCTCCTCTCTCCTCCTCCCTACCCACTGCCTCCGCTCTACTGGTTCCGGCTTCCTTCCTGTCCCTCGAATTCTCCGCTGCACCATAAGCGGCCGTGCCTTCAGCCACCACGGCCCAAAGCTATGGAACTCCCTCCCTTAATTCCTTCGCCTTGCCCCCTCTTTCCCCATTTTCAGGTTGTGCCTGAAGATCTTGCTCTTTGACCGTGCCTGTGGTCACCTTCCCCCTCCCCCTGGCTTGGCATCGGGCTCCGCCATTGTTAATCACTCTAGGACGCCACCCGGCGTGGAGAGCGCTCTATAAATGCAAGTTGTTGTAGCAGTAAGTTGAGTTCAGCATCATTTTGAACATTAAAGTAATTAAACATTCTGATCCATTTGATTTAGGTATTTGCGATTTCTTATATTGATTGTATAGAAAACTAACATAGATGCAGATTGTACATTAAAGTGCATCGCGCAAATAATTGGTTGTATATATTTTGGTAGTTTACTGGGAGAGAGAGGAAATTATCAAAGCATTGTGAAATGGTAGCTGTGGGAAGCAAACCACATTAGTTATAAACATCCTGTATTGATTAGTAATGACCACCTATTATATAAAGCCGTATTCAGCCTCCCCTGTGCTCTTAATTTGTACCTAGAATACCATACTTGAATAGAATTTCTCCTATTGGCAAAGAGGAAAGTCACAGTGAGATTTTTCCATTGACGTACAGATTGATTAAGCAGGAATGTCTACTTGTATTGTGGATTTTAGTGTTGTCCCTGACTTGAGCAGCAGCACTATATAAAGTAAATATTGTGCCACTGTTGCTTCTGGAAGCTTTGACACACCTACCACACCAGCTGTTTCTGTTGGTGCTCCTGAATGTTCCCTCCAGCTGTATAAACTGGTTGCAGAATTAGGGTTGGGACATCTTTACTAGTTGTTGGCAGAATAAAGGTACCCTGCTCTCTGCCTGTTAGTACGGACCAGTGATAATGCATTTCCATCATGGAGTCCCATAGCATAGTTGTGGAGTCTCATAGTATAGTAGTTAGCATGCTCGCCTCGCAATTGAGAGGGCTCTGATTCGATTCTCGGATAGGGAAGTTTCCTTACTCCACGCGCCTCTGTTTACCTAGCGGTAAGTAGGATCCCGATTGTTATTCGATTAGCAGATCGCCTTCCGGTGGGAATAATCAATTGGCTGCCGGGTTTTGCTCACAAAATGCAGTCAATCCACTTTACAATATATTCTGTGAAGGGCTTTGAGACTTCTCAATGTGATAAGGCACGATCACATGCAAGGATTATTATTATTATTTCAATGCTTTCAAGGATTGGTGAAGACATGGTGGTGGCAATTTGATAACTGCTCCTCATATTTAGAGTTCCTAATGTAATGCAATTCACACCACAATTTAAATTGTGGTTTTCCCAGTATTGGATCCTCAGGCAACTTCAAAGCAGTGCTGTTTGAAGTGGCTTGTTGATACAAATTCCCCATTAGAGCATGTCACTACGCGTAACATGATGTTAAATCATCAGGCTTTGCAGTTTCACAAGTATATCAAAACTGAATTAATTTGTTTCACATGACAAATTTGCCATATTTTTTCATTGATTGTATGATCTAATTAATTGAGAGAGGAAAGATTGACATTAAAATTCTCAAGTGGCTTTGACACATGTTGCTATACACTTTGTGTAATCATTTTTTTAAGACTGAAACCTCAATGATATTGCATTTTTTACTGAAGTAAAATTTCTAATAAGTCTATCTCCTGTTATCTGAGTCACAAAATAAACTGTTAATTTCTTTAAAATTCATTATTGTGTAGTGCAGTATTTGGAAGTTGGTAGGATTTGGCAGTTTATGATAGGTACACAGTAGTCCTTTTAATTCTTATATCCAAGTTTCAATGCAGCCCAGATTGCTGCGATGAAAGTCTTATTCTGATGACTCAAGTTGTTTTTTTATTTGTTTTTTTAAAAACAAACCTTAGCTCTGAGTAGTGAGGTTCGTGCTCACAATTCATCAGTATTCCTGATCGCTAAGCAGTGATGTGGAGTTAAATGGAGTAAATTAACTTTGGTATTAGTTGTTTGATGGTTTCGCGCAGAAATCTCTGGTTCCTAAGATTACCCCAGACGTTCTTAAAGATGGTTATTGCTCATAGATTTTATTATGCTGTTAATCCTGACGTAAAAGGTGTTATACAAATGTAATTTGTTGTTATTGTAAATGTAAACTGTGTTTTGGAGCATGATTTGTGCATTGTGGGGAGTTCAGCAACATCCCAGGATAGCGATATGATACTCCCTCAGGTTGGGACTGTTGATGCCAGTTGCAGTAACCAGATCCCTACCTTATCTGATCCACTATCACAGCAAAGCATAAGGTTTGATCTTCCTTATTGTATATGAGTCACTGCTATTGCCTCCCTTGCCTCCTTCAAGGCACATCTCAAGACCCTCCTCTTGGACCATGCCTTTGATCACCCTCCTACCCCTACCCTCCTTGCCCTCCACCACTCCTGATGCTAACCCCCACTCGGGTCCAAATCCCTGACTGTCCAGCCCCTTGGGACATCCTCCCGAAGTGAAAGGCGCTATGCAAATATAATTTGTTGTTGCACTATTGGAAGGGAGAAGAGGATTTCTCCTTGTATCCTGACCAACCATTCTCCAAATAAAATTTGTTATTCCATGACTGTGCAACATTTTTTTTCACAAATTGGCTGCCACATGCACTACCAATAATTGCTACGATTCACAATGCTGTGAAATGTTTCAAACTTTTTGATGCTATGATGGGCAAATATCGAATATGAACAAATATCAAGATTTTTTTAACCATACTTGTGCATCCCTTATCAACAAGTCCCAAAGCAGAGCCAGTTTAGAAATGGTTGTCATTCAGTTCTGCTCTTTATGTAATCTATTTCCCTTCTGGCAGTTGGTATGAAATCAGGCTGAAAGAAATCAATTTTGTGACATTACAGGCTACATATAGCCCTCTAATCACAAATAGTTGAACTATAAGCATTTCTAATTCTGTCAAATCAACAATTTGGATAGATAACTTAATCCTCATGCTCAGGGGAGGAGTACCAGCACTACATAAAAGTGATTTGTGTTGGTTGTCTCTTAAAACTAAAGGACCCTATTTAAGAAAGGAACCAATTCCTAACCACTAATACTGCAATATCTTTCTGTGAGTGTGAAGTTGGAAAAGGTGCTATAATTGTTCTAGAAAATAGATATGAACCCACCACAATGAATAAATCTGCTCCTAGAAATGGGAAATAGGGTTCACCATTCCACAAATAGCATTATTCCCTGCCATCTGCATGTTTTTTCCCACTTGTTTTAAGTCTTCATTGAACAGTTGTGCATCTAAGTATAAAAGAAAACCTATTGGCTGTTTTGAATCCTAAAACGTTGCCAGCGCTCATAAGCAGTTACTTAACTCTTAAAATTCTGTTTGTTAAGCTTTTTTTGTTACAGCACAGGCTTTAATATCTTGCTTGACCACATACAGAGATTGAGGAACAAGAAGAACCACATTCCAGTAAAGGTTGAGGCAGAGTTAAACAGGAATGTTCATTATGTCAGTAATATGGGAGTGTTGACCAAGATACATAAATGAATTGGGAAAGGAAAATTATTTGGGAACAGTATAAGCAAGAAAAGGCTTTGCCATGTTATTTTGTATGTTTACCAAATTCTAATTTGGGGAATGCAATATTTATAACAAAAAATACTAGTTTTACATTCCATGTCCCATGCTATAAAAACAGTTTAAAGCATCTGGTATTGTCAGTATTCAGTTAATAATTAGCAGGTGACACCAGCAGCTTTCTAAATAACAAAAGGATCTGAGAAATGTCAGAAGGAATTGACAGTTTCAGATTCCGTGTACAATTCATTCTGTGCAACAGTGATGGACACACAATGTAAATTGGTGTAATTTTTTAAAAATGGAAACTTCTCTTCCCCAAAGGTTTTTTGAGTGAACTCTTAAAGACAAGAAAGATGATGTGCTCCTGAAAACGTGCGAGTGGAAGAAAGCCTTTGTAGAGCTCCTATTTGAGAGGTATGTGTTCAGTTTTTTTAATATATATATATATATTGTACATACAGAAAAGAAGGCAGGACGATTGCATCCAACCCAATTTTAGCAATGAGTTTAAAAAAATATTATGTACTCCGTTGGAAAGACATTTACACCAAGGTCTTGTCTGCTTGTTCAGGTGGATGTAAAAGATCCCTTGGTACTATTCAAAGTGCAGGGAGTTCCTCCAGGTATTCTGGCAAACAAACCCCCAGATATAAATTGGTCGCTCACTCCACGGATATTTGTCAGACATTACTATGTGGCAATAAGCTGCCACATTTGCCTACAAATAGTCATTAGCTATCCTTTACAGTAAATTCTGTGAAGTGCTTTACAACATCCTTGCAATGTGAAAGTTTCTATAAAAGCATCATTATTTAGGATTATAATTGCTATGTATACACAGTCAAATCTTTTAGGCTGCATTATGCTGAAACTGATCGCGTTAAATTACTGCAAACATCTGTATCTCTTGAGGACTTCGGTCAGAAAAGCTCTATTGAAAATAGAGCAAGTCTTCTAATATTTTTAGCTTGGACCTCTCGAATGTTGCTATCTATTTGCCTGTTGTTGTCCACCATGTTGACTTATTTTTATATTTTATCTTTTCCTTTTTATGTGTTTTATTTTCTTTCTGATTTTTTGATTCTTAGCTTTCTTTCCCCCTACGATATGATAGCAAAGTAGTCCAAAGTGCACTCGCTTCTGTATCAGAAAGTTGTGAATTTGAGCCCTAAATTGGACTTGGACTCAGAATCTAGGCTGTCGCTCATGGAGTATTCAGAGATTGCAGAATTACTGGAGGCACTGTTCTTTGAATGAATTGTTAAAACTGAAGTCTTGTCTTTATCTGTTCTGGTCGTTTAAGTGGACCTTTAACAATCCCAAGGCATTGTTTCTCCCGGTGTCCTGGCCAGTAATCTCTCAATCAAATTCACTTGATTAAGAAGTTTGAGATGACTCTGCCATGTCAACCTACGTAGCTAACTCTTCAAATTAACTCGTTGTGTGAAGCACCTTGAAATACCTCTATATAATGCGGAGCAAATTAAAATAGTAAGTATGCTATGGTTTTGTGACGAGTAGTGGCCAAATGACTGTTCAAACATGAGTCAGATGCTAGAGATTCAGCAGTTGGATTAAAGATAAAAGAAAAGTTTTAAATCTGTGTCCCACTGACTTGTTTCCCCCAAAACTAACACTCTTAAATCTTAACACAAAGTTCCAGGACTGATTTTGAGACTTCTACATGCCCACCACTTTGTGTTGCAATTCTATTTTTTTAACCTGAAATTCATCAAAGTCTGTCCTTGTCTAAACTTGTATTTCGTAGCAATATACATGAGAAGATAGATTCTTTGAACAGGAAAGTGTTGATTTGTCCTGGTAAGTTCCTGCATTTGACATGAAAAAAAAGGTGGCATGTCGTACGTAATGCCCTATTTGTAAACCTACACTACAACAACAACCTGCGTTTATATAGCGCCCTTCATGCGGGGTAGTGTCCCGGAGCCCTACCTGCTTGATTCCCATTGATGATAATTTAATTTGAAATAATTTTTTTTCTAAAATCAAGCAACTTCACTTGTCACCTCTATAAATCATCATTTGAATATAGACAGTAAAGTGCAAATTCAGGATTTTTTTTACATTCTCAGCCAAGTTAGTGGTTGACCTTAGAAGGAGACAAGTCAATCAAGGATCCGCCTCCTGCTTGCTCTCTACGAGTGTCTTCCTGAAAAATGTGTGCATGTTTGGGGAACAAGATTGGGCTTGAATGTGATGCCCTCTGTATTAAATTTTTTGTTCAGGCACACATGAGAGAAAGGGATAGGTTTGAGGATTTGCATTCCTTGCTTTTTTTTAAATGTATCTTTAGCTGTGACATAAGCATGGTTTATTCATATTCACTCGTATTCATTTTAGGTGTGATATTTATTTTTTTAAACCTATTACCCCCTTCTTCCTCCCCCACTCCTACTCTCACCATTGAGGTATATATAACAACTACTCGCTATTTATTTAGCAGCCTTCACGCATCACCCCAGAGCGTTTAAGCAGTTGGTTGGTGCAATGAGGGAGCCTGTTGCATAGTCATTGCTTAGTACAGCATTTAATAATAATAATCTTTGCATTTGATATTAAGCCTTATCACATTTTCAAGATGTCTCAAAGCGCTTCACAGGATTTACTGTAAAGTGATTGACTGTATATTTTGTGGGCAAAACGCGGCAGCCAATTGCGCACAGCAGTGTCCCACATGCAGTCGCGGACCGAGTGACCAATTTTTTGAGTATTTGCCTGCATACTGAGAAGAGGTCTACTTGAATAGATTTGGCTACAGGAACTAACACCTGGAGGATATAGAGCTGATGGATAGTCTTTGGAAATCCTTAACATAAACTTCTGCTAATGCTGCAGCCTCTGCTTTTAGTGTCTCCCCCCACCCCACCCCTTTCCCGTTTTAAATATATTGAATTCAGAAATGTTGTACAGTTTTTCTATTCAAAAAAATATATATTTTTAATATGAAGATCTGATATTGATTTTAGCCATAGTAATGTTTTTGTGAGGGTAGTGCAGAATTTCCCTGCAAATGCACAATCACTAGACAGTAAAATGTTATGAAGCACTTAGAGGCATTTCAATGACAGAAGACACTATAAAAAAATGTAAGAATTAAAGGGTTAAATTGCAGCAGTATAAGCATGGATTCTGAGCATCCACACTTAATTGTTTGCCTTAGCTTGCTGTGGTTGTAAAAATGCTGTCTAATTGGGATCTTCGTTTATGTAAGCACAATCGCAGCGCACAAGTGGATGGATGGATGTGTTAAGACTCGTATAGCATTATAGAGTATTATCTTCCAGCACAACGAAACAATGGGGATAGATCTTAATGTAAATCAATATTGGTGCTATCAATTAAAATTGATATTGACGAATTTATATTCATCTTATTTCAAAGCTTTAGAAATCCACAGTTTGACACCCCACCCAGGGTCAGTTCAATGATGTTTCTGTGCCAAGGTAGTGCGAGTAAAACTTGAACTACCATTTTGTTGAGGGATTTTTTTGGGTCAGCTGGCAGTTGCCCCTTCTTGTGACTGAGTGTCCAGTTCCACTTGCTGAATATTCACAAGAGCGCAGTTGCTGTGAAAAGCTATGTGATAAAGTGCTACACAAACTTTTTCTTTACAAATCAGCATTGATGTATGAAGTGTAAGACATGGATGTGGAATAGCAATGAGCTGAACAGAAGGAAACATGAGTAATTATATGTGGGAGGTATTGAGTCAGGTGCCTCAGGAACCCTGTAACTAGTCTAGACTTAATCTTGCATTTATATAGCACCCTTCACGAGAGATAGTGTCTCAGAGCGCTTACAGTTCTAGAGGAGAGAGAAAGTAAACACGGAACAATATTTTCTGATGCCTCAAGGAGGACAATAGGGCACATGTTAGAGTTGTAAAAGGTACTTTTTAGAATTGATATAAGGAAGTATTTCTTTACACAGTGTGTAATCAGTGACTTAAGGTCTCAGCTAAGCAAACTCTGCTCTATTTGAGTTGGAAAGCATGTTATGTAATGAGTATGCTTACAAATTGTAAAAAGTGCCCTTTGGTCAGATTAACCCTTAGATAAGATCACCTCTTTTAAAAAAAATCTCAGTTTAAAATAGATCTAAATTTTAAAAATACACAGGTGTTGAGATTAACATTGGTTGTAATTCTGTGTGACTGACAATCGCCCTATCAAATTTGGAAACTTTCTTGCTGATTTTTCCATCTATTTCACTTTTCTGGATTTGTTTTGTTTGTAACTAATGTACTCCAAATCCCTCATCACTTTCTCCCTTCCCCTAACTAACTGGCTCTTTTGGAAGCACTCTTGCTTCTGATTCTGCAGGTTGTTGGTTCAAGCCCCACATCGGGAATTTGACCTCCCAGATAGTCAAGGCTGGTATACCAGTGCAATGCTGGGGTTTTGCTTCATTGTAGAAGGTGCCATTCTTGAAATGTTAAAGCAAGATCCTGACTGCATGTTCGTGTAGATAATAAGGCACTATTTGAAAAGAGAGGGGAGTTTCTCTCAGTGTTCTGGCCAACAGCACCCCCAAAAAAATGTTTATTCATGCTGTGGGTTGCTTGTGGGACACTGCTGTGCAAATTAGCTGCCACATTCACCTATAGAATCGTCACTACAGATTCTAGTAAATCCTGAGAAGCACTCTGAGACACCTTCCTGACAGAAACGGTGTTGTATTAAATCTAAGGGTTATTATTATTTTTAGTTCTAACCTCAGGGTGGTATTTTAGAGGTGAGAATTGCATCATGAAATTAGTTTAAACTGAAAACTAACATAGAAGATGTTTCCCTCTTCTTTCCCTTCTTCCTCCACCCCCCCAACACACCAGCTAAGGCCTAGCATTGTAAAGATTGACTCGGATCAACCTTTGATGTGATTTTTTATGTCAGAACAGGAAGTAAAGATACTCTACTTCTTGTCACTGTGTCAGAACAGGAAGTACTGACACTGATGCCTCATCATAAGTTCCGGCAGTCGGTGCTGCCCCGCTCGAGACTCAACCGAGGTTAAAGATTCTAAAAAAATCTTTTTGTTCAAGGGTATACGCTCATTTTTCTCTACACAAATACTGAGAGGATGATTATCCTGCTTCTAGATCTCGCAGTGCCCTTTTTATTTGATTAAATACGACAGGCACTGCAGTAATGATATAGAGATCAAACTCCTGTTTGCTGTATTCCCCTTCACTACCTGCCTCGCCTTAGAACAGGAACTGAGTGGACTAAATGGTGGAACCTATGACAACAACCAGTATAACCATAGATGATATAGCTTGAACCAACAGGTTTGCCCCGTGTCAGAGTTGACAATTGCGGATATTTATTTGTTTATTTCTTGTACATTTTAGCTTATTTAGATATTTATTTCTTGTACATTTTAGCTTTGAGGATGTATATTATTTATGAAGTTCTTGTGTAGTTAGTATTACTGTATCTTGTATACTCACCTACTCCCTCATCTCTTTTAAGGTCAGTCACAAGACAACAACAACTTGCATCTATATAGTGCCTTTCACACGGGGCAGCGTCTCGGAGAGCTTCTTCTTTGACAGCACCTTTGGTCATCTATTTCCCCCTCCCGACCTCAACTCCCACCCTGCGCTCGGTTGCCATTGTCAAGCGCCTTGGTACATCCTCCCAACCTGATTGGCACTATATAAATGTAAATTTGTGTTATTGTACTGTCATTTTGTACAAATTAAAGTGGTTCCTAAAAATATTATATGGGGCGAAATTAGATTAAATTATCAATTTAATACAAAGAGAACAAATGTTGAAGTTGTCACTTTTTCTTATTCAGGTCATTTTTTTTTTACTGCTACTGTTTTTAAAAGGAACCTTTGTCGATGAAGGGAGAAATCTGTGAATCCAGCACTTGCAAATTCAAGTCTTCTGCAGGTCATCATGCCGTCGTCAACCCGTAAAGGTGTTGTGAAGGACCCAGAGGTTTCAGAACTGTTCTTTCAAGATGATCCAGAGGAGCTGCTTATTGACTTGCATGAAATTGGACATGGAAGCTTTGGAGCTGTATACTTTGTAAGTTAATAACTTTTACCAAAAACAACCATATGGACTGAAACCCAAGTCGAAGCAGACTTCTACACATTTGGTGCCCATTAAGGCGATTGACTTGGTATCCCTATCTCGCATTCCCTCCGCCTCACTCCTTCTCTTGCCTTCTTCAAGTCCTGCTAAAGATCTTCTTCTTCGATCGTGCCTTCAGTCACTCTCCCACCTCCACCCCCCTGCCCTCCACCCCTGCTAAGCCCAACTCCCAGCTCAGGTCTAAAAACCCCTGACAGTCCAGCACCCTGGGACATCTTTTCAATGTGAAGGGCGCTATACAAGTGTAATTTGTTGTTGTACATACTGAGGACAACTTCATTCATTGTTCAATGATTTTAATGAAATTGAAATTGCAGCTTTTTTTTCTTTTGTGGAATGGCAGTGATTGTCTACAGACTGAGTTTAAATCAAATTCTGCCTTTTCTAAGATAACTAACTTTTCAAAGAGTTTATTGAAATAAGTAGATGTGTGTTCATTTTCTATACAATTGCTATTTTGTGTTTTGAACTTAAAGTGAATAATTTCTGGAACAAGAATGTACATTCTTTGCTTTCTCCTACTCACTAGATTAAACATTGAAAAATGTATTTTTAAAAAATCCAGAGAAAAATTCTAATAATTTCTGCAAATGTAATAATGTTCTTAATTGTGCGTGACTTTCAGGCCCGAAATGCTCGCACATCTGAAGTGGTGGCGGTCAAGAAGATGTCCTACAGCGGCAAACAGACGACTGAGGTGAGGAAAACTAAATATGTTCCGTTGTATTTAAAGGCAAAAAGATTTAATTGTTGTAGATTGAGGTTGGTTTAGTCGAGAAGAAGGAGTCTTCAAGACAAAAGTTGATGTAACCATCCGTTGAAGAGCAGCCAACTCCCAACAACAGCAATTGTTTTTTTTTGTTCTTGAGTCAAGATCGGATTGTTTTGAACTTGTATAGAGGCATTGAACCAGGAAGAATAGCATGAGTTGGGTTACAGTATTGGTGAATTGAACTGTTTATTGAGAAGTGATAACTTTTTTGTGATTGATGAGACCTTTGTGGGAAGGAGGCGAAAGGGGCGACGTGTTTAGGCTTGATTAGTTGCTGTAGCAACTTGAAAAATAGAAGTGGGTGAACTTGCAAAAACAAATTGCTGGATCGTTGTTTATACAAATTGGCATAGCCTTGCTATTCTCAAATGCCGAGCCTTTTTTTAAAAGAACAAAATTTATCTCCTTAAAATGACGAGGAAGTGCAAACTCCAGAAGCTCTTCAGCTGACAGCAATTTTCCTTGGACTGTGCTCCTGAACCCAGCAGTTCCCCTAAATACCTTCTCTGACTTTATTTTGGCAGCAACAAATGACACTTGTATAGTGCCTTTCACGTCAGGAGGACGTCGCAAGGCACTGAAAGGCAACATGTCTAAATTAGACAGATGAGGATGGGAGTGAACAAAAATAATTATTGAGTTGAGAGGCAGAAAATGTTTGTTCGAAGATTATGGTCCTTTTTGGAATAGATTAAGCTGTTGTGGAATTTGTAAATTCCATTCCCATAGTGAAATATATTACTTACATTTAACGTAGAGCCTTTCATATCGGGAGGAAGTCTCAAAGCACTTCATAGGATATACTGTAAAATGGAGTTGCTGTATTTTGTGGGTGAACTATTACGGTACATAGATAACACTGTTGACTTTAGCTGATCTTTATCAATTTGGAAAACAATTTTCCTTGTAATAGTCCATTATAGGTTCAGTGTTGCAAAGACTATTTCAGGACAGAATCCAGAGAGTAATTAAGAATTGGAGCAGGTTGCCAGGAAGGATTTTTGAGGCCTGGGTGTTGGGACTCATTTACAAAATGGCTTGATTCTGTGATTGGACGAGAGGATGGGTAAGTATGAGATCAAATAAGCTGAAGGACCTTTATCTAAACCAATCTTGTGAATTATTTATAGAAATGGCAAGATATCATCAAAGAAGTCAAATTTCTCGGTCAACTCAAGCATCCAAATACCATTGAGTATAAAGGTTGTTACCTTAAGGAGCACACAGCCTGGGTAAGTTCCAATGTTGGCAAACTATTACCTATACGAATTTCAGAAGAGGTTGGCATTATACGTGCCTAATCTGGCAAATAATTAACAAGTTAGTCCTGTCCTTGTGCATCTTAGTAATAATTTTACCAGTAATCTTATCAAACGCTGTAATAAAACAAAATGAAAATTAAACGGTGGTTGCATTCATCACATCTAATCCATTGGAATTTTTTTATGCATTTTAAAAAGAAACTGAAACAATGTCTTAATTTAATTTTCCCCTGCGACCTGTCCTCTTGGAAGGAAAAAAAAGCAATGTTACTGCTGCATTAGACATATTTTTGTAAAGCTGCATTTAATAGTGTGAAAGATGAAGATTTTATTTTAATGTAGAGTATGTTGTCGTTTCAGTTGGTCATGGAATACTGCCTAGGATCAGCTTCTGATTTATTAGAAGGTGAGTTCCCTTGCAATATACAGAATAATGATTTCACATTAGTTTTTAAAGTTAATACCTGTAGCTCAGTGGTTAGAGCACTCGCTTTGCAAGTGAGAGACCTGAGTTCAATCCCAGGCAGAGGGCCAAACCTTGGGCAAGTTTCCTTACTCCACACAGAGCCTAATAATAATCCCTCCAAAACCCAAAACAATAATAAATTGTTCATTTTCAATCTACGACTGTTTGTAGGACATTGCTGTGCGCAATTGGCTGCCGCGTTCGCCCATAAATATACAGTCAATTCACTTTACAGTGTGTTCTGTGAAGCACTTTGGGATGTCCTCCCGACGTGAAAAGCGCTATATCAAATGCAAGGATTATTATTATTATTATTATTATTACCTTGTTTTAAATTTGCTGTTTTTAGCTACTGTGTGTTTTGCTCCGAGACAATACCCCACGTGTTGGGAGATATGTTGTTTGGCATTTGTCCCCTGGCCCACCCTCCCAGGTCTTGACCCACAGCTCAGGTCTGAACAGCATCTATATAGTGCCCTTCACACAGAGCAGCATCTCAGAGAGCTTCCTCTTTGACGGCGCCTTCGGTAATCTGCTTTACCCCCCAGCTCAGCTCCCACCCTGCGGTCAGGTGCCATTGTCCAGCGCCTTAGAACATCCCCCCGACATGAAAATCATGATACAAATGTAATTTTGGTGTTTGTTGTATTTTGTAGATTTTGTTAAATTTCCTTCCCATCTCAGGGCACTTGGTCCCTTTGTATCAGATCCGTACACTTCCAGTGTCCTTTATAAATCCATTCTGTTGTTGCACATTGTAATATCTTTTGAGATTTTTCAAAGCTTTCTCACTCTGTACATTGCACTGCAAACGTTATGAGCTGTTTACGTTCTCCATGCCTGCGGACACCCTTTCTCCTGGACTAGGCGTCAAACCACACCATTGTTAAGCGCTCAGACACCACCCTTCGTGCAGGGCGCTATATCAATGCAGGTTGTTAAAGATGTTTGTCTATGGAATATCCTTATTTACTTTTTTTCCATATCACAGTTCACAAAAAACCACTTCAGGAAGTGGAGATTGCTGCCATCACCCACGGTGCCTTGCAGGGGCTGGCCTACCTGCATTCTCACAATTTGATTCACAGGTGAGCAGCACCAATTCACACGACTGGATTGAATGAAGAAGGCTTTGCGACTCATCTAATCTCATCCCTCCAGAACTCCCACCCTACCAATCCCTCATCACTGCATCAAGCTACTCGTTCAATTAGTCCAGTGATCTGGCCTCTACCACCTTTCCCTGCAACCTGTTCCAGTCGTCGTTGATCTGCTACGTAAAGACAAACTTCTGGTGTCTGTCTTGAAATTGCACTTTACAACTCTAATCCTACGTCCTAAAGGCAGCAGTACTGTAGCTCCCATTCAACTTTCTAGATGCCTTAGAACTAGATGCCTTGGAGTCCTGTAGCTCAGTGGTTAGAGCACTCGCTTTGCAAGCGAGAGACCTGAGTTCAATTCCAGGCAGAGGGCGAAACCTTGGGCAAGTTTCCTTACTCCACACAGAGCCTAATAATAATCCCTCCAAAAACAATAATAAATTGGTCATTTTCAATCCACGACTGTTTGTGGGACATTGCTGTGCACAATTGGCTGCCGCGTTCGCCCACAAATATGTCGTATTGGCAGGCCAGTAGGGTGGGTGTTGATCGGATGAGCTGAAGGGTCTTCTTTATCCAAATCGATCTTATGATTATGAAAATTTTCACTGTCAATTTTTCTTTTCAATGCTCTGCTGATTAAAATTATAACATAAACCAAATCTGCAGTATATTGAAAAGATTACAAAGGCAGTTATTAAGTGGGTTCAGGTGACCTTGTGAACACCATGAACTTCACTCCTACTGTTCATTGACTAATTTTATCCCTGGGCTTAGTTTAATACCTTATTATTGACCTGGTATTTCGATTTTAAATCAATTCTGTCATAACCATAAGAGAGGCTCAGAGCTTCAGTCTGGCTTTTAGCTGGGCATGAAGTGGGGAGCCCCTAAAGGAGTGGACAGAAGAGAAATTTTAATACCTGTATTGTGGAGTAGCTCAGTGTTTGGTGTGCGCACGGACAGATGCTGTCAGCGTGCATCCTGACTACTAGTGTGTTCCATCTGGTCAAATAACATTCACTTGAAAGGATTAACCATTAAAATCCATTACTGTAAGAGGGGAAATTCTGACTACAATGAGATGCTTTTCGAATTTTTAGTTCGCACTTTTATTTTAGCAAAAAGAACCAACTTAATTTGTTTCCAACGTCGTTTTATTCATTGGATCCTGTTTATTCGGTCAAATTCACACATCAGGTTCCCTTAAGTTGTTCATTATATAATGCCATCAATTTAGTCATTTCAACTATATGTTCAGCACTTCCAGATTTCTGGAGAAACTATTTATAATGTAACCCATTTGAGATGATCAAGAATTTAGGAAATGACCCTCTGTTTTCCTTTTGTTTCAGGGATGTTAAGGCTGGAAATATTTTGCTCACGGAGCCAGGGCAAGTCAAGCTGGCTGATTTTGGATCTGCCTCTATTATATCTCCTGCCAACTCCTTTGTGGGGACGCCTTACTGGTAGGTGCAATAGAAATGAGATGCAAAACTTTGGACCTTTGGCCCACCGACTTTCAAAATGCCTAAGTGCTTGTTTTATGAAACCATAGCGCAACTTGAATTAGTGATAATGTGATTTCATTACATGTCAGACAGTCAAATTGAACCGGCTTCAAGTCAACTAATTCCGCTGTCATGTTTGATTTACTATGCAGCTAAATGGAATAATTAAATTGCTATTTGTAATAAAATGGCTGCTCTATTCATCCTGGGCACGGATTCTGTGCGTCTTGGCCCTTTGCCCCCAAACAAGCTTCAAGTTTTCATTTATCTCTTTAAATTTGTTCCACCATCCTCACTATTCTCTTTCTTGCCTACTTCCCCTCCCGTCCCAACCCCAAACCAGAAACAATAATAATCAATAACATTTCCTCTAGTTTCTAATTGGCACCTTATCAGCATAAAAGTTTTGAGATAAGTCTCGATTTGATTTTCTTTATTGTACCATCTTCTTCGCTATGTGTTTCCCTTCTGCTGCCATAATCAGCTATTTGACTTTGCTTCAGATATTATCAGCGCACTGCTTTGTTTACATGTCAGTCACCTCTGACCAGAGACCCAATAAATGCGATGTACCTTTTTTTAATAAAAGGATAGTTTCCAAGTAAGTCTATTTTTTCTGACAGGATGGCCCCAGAAGTGATCCTTGCAATGGATGAGGGGCAGTATGATGGAAAAGTAGATGTCTGGTCTCTCGGTATTACATCCATTGAGCTCGGTTCGTATTTAGTTCAAAAGATTCTCTCGTATAACTTTGCATAGCCTTGTTTTACAGCAGTAAAATAATCTTTGTAGGAAATCCTAAGTGTCTGTAATTGTCTGTCCTTATTAGACTATTTTTATAATTGTCGAGGAACCAAGACAAACTCGGGTTTAAAACTCTTGCTCCAATAATACTTGCCTTGAAGTCAGCAATGTATGCCACACATGTGTGGGATGAGCAATGGTTTATTTTGATGTTTGAGCTACTTTCGAAATCGCTTTTGTATCCAGTTAGCTGATCGGATGCTGGAACACCAAAGGATCTATGTACTAAATAAAACCACAAAATCTTAATGAGGCATTAGGTCTACATCTTAACAACATGTAGTGCAATTTGTCTTGCTTCCCCTGTACCCAATCTCCAATAGTAAGATCTATTGTAGAATAAACCCACGCAAAAGACCGTGATGTAAAAACAGCTACTAGACTTCAGAGAGAAAATTCTGGTGAATGTTAATGCACATTGCCTTCAGTCATGTCAACCACTTATAGGATTTTCTCGTCATAGCACAGCACAGAATCCTACTGCAATTTTTAACCATTCATATCCTTTTTATGTGGTTGGAGGTGTGTCAGGGGTGAGAGGGGTAAGAGAGAGAAATTGTGCAAGTTGGTCTTGTGTGACCTGTGCAACGCTTGGAGGCAACATCATTGTCCTTTCAAGTGGGGAAAATCGATAAACCACATGAGGATGGATATACCGTATGGATACATTTTGTCTTATCAGTTGCTTCATTTACAACAACAGTAAACAAATTTACATTTATCCGCCTTTCACAACGGGAGTCTGAAGGCGCTGGACAATCCTGGCTTTGTATCCAAGCTGAGGAGGGTGGGGAGGGAAAGATGAGGCGCAGTCATAGATTTCTCAAGTAATGGGAAGTGCTTCGAAAAGGCTTTTGACATGGAATGTGCTGTATAAATGGAAGTTATTATTGATGGGTATTTCTGGTTATTTGGATATAATCCTTTGCATTGCATCCAATTATTTGTCATAAATCTTACTGACATGCAGAGGACATTATTGGACTCTGAAATCTCACAAGCAAAAGGTCCTATAAGATAAGGCAGCAAGAGAAATACGTTGGAAGTTTGAAGTGCAATAATACTAAAAACACAATGGATTTGCAGAGTTTTGCTGCAGCATTTTATTTCAGTGATTTTAATAGTTTAAGCAGAGGTGTACATTTCTACTTTGTTCTCTATTTCAGTTTGAATCTAAATAAAAAGAATTCCTGCAAAACTAATAAGTTTGTCCATCTTTTCTCTGATTTGCAATTAATTGATGTGAACCATCAGTATTCATTTAAATTTGAGGCAGGAGATACCCCCCTTTTAAATTGAATCGGTAGATTAAATTACACAAACTATGTTGCTGTAATTTTGGTCAATTTTCTCCATTTGTTAGGGCTATTGCTCTCTTTTTAAAAGGCTGAAATAGCAACAAATATTATAAACTAACAACCTAGTACCCTCTTACTTTAATAATTACCAGTGGTTTTTGATTGTATTTTAGTGCGAACGTTTAAAAGATCAGAATGATTTAAGAATTTTGTGAATATTCAATTAGCCCTCGTGTCTTCAATGTTTCCTACAGTAAATCTTTTGTAGATTAAACAGCTAAGAGGATTACTTTGTATGATGACAGTTATCCATATGGGTTTAGTACTGATTGCTACGTGCATAAGACCAACTTTTGAGCACTCAGACTCATTCTGATTGTTATTTCTCAGCTGAACGCAAGCCACCTTTGTTCAACATGAACGCAATGAGTGCCTTATATCATATTGCCCAGAATGAATCTCCATCACTGCAGTCGAATGAATGGTAAGCTGATGATGGATGGGTCTTGCAGCAAATTTTAAGGTTTTATTTTTCTCTCCATTTGCATAGCCCTTGTTAAACTACTTTTCCATGGTTTAGTAATAATTGTTTGCCACATTGTATAATCCATTTGCTTCTATTCGGAGCAATGCGATTACAGCTTCTTTCAATAAAAGATGCTGTTTATGGGACTAAATGCCTCATCCCCACCCAAAAGTGATTGTCGCTGACTTGCTCTGAAGAACCTCACTAGAGTGGTATGGGAGTCTCTACCTTCTATGTTCCTTTGCTATTTCCCCAGTGACGGGGTCAGACTCCGCCACTGTCAAGCGCTCCGGGACACTGCCCCGCATGAAGGGCACTATATAAATGCAAGTTGTTGTAGATTGTTGTTGTAAAGGCATGGGTAAGATGGTACACGGGGACAAGTTAGCTCTGTGGCACAGCATTGCTCACTCCACGAGACCCACTTGATTCTTCAGTAATGTTCCCGTGTTGTGGTTGTCTTAAGTCATGCTCCACCACTATCAAGCGCTCCAGGATACTACCGTATCTGAGCTGCGCTATATAAATGCAACTTGTTGTTAAAGTAGTGAACAGGCTAAAAACTGGTGGAACGCTTGTGTGAAAATTTGTTACCCAAACAGCTCCCAATATTACTCGTTTTTCAAACACAATATTACAAATTCCCGAACTGTAAACTTTTGATTCTTTGTGCTTTATTTTCACGCATATGATGGGAAAGTCATGTATTTGGTAGTGAAGGTGAGATCAGAAAGTAACTCTTTTAAACGGCATTTTCGAGATTGAGTCACATAAAGCAAACTGAGCGATCCATAGTTTGTACCTTTTGAATTTAGGAAAATGACCAATTTGTTGAAAAGAATTTTACAGTGTTTCTCATTTTTTATTCTGTAGGTCTAACTTTTTTAGAAATTTTGTGGAATACTGCCTACAGAAGATCCCTCAGGATAGACCAACATCGCTGGAGCTTCTTCGGGTGAGGATTTTACCACTGTCTCTGGAAACGTATACATTAACTGATCAGTACAAAAGCTGCAATTCTATTTTTACCTCAATTACTCATTTAGGAATTGTTTTGATTTGAAGACCTGTACCTAGTACAGAGTTTCTTCTGGTATCCTGGCCAGCAATTGCCCCGCCCCACCCCCCAAAAAAAATTGGTCATTCACTTAGCTCATTGTGGGACAAATTGGCTGTTGCGTTCATCCACAAAACACACAGTCGCTGAAATTTACAGTGAAGAGTTTTGAGGCATCCTCCCAAGGCGAAAGGAGAAAATAAATAGTTTGAATGTGTTGCATTGATTTTGGTGGTTGGTCTAATTTCCAAAGAAAATTGCAGAAGCAAAACTAGTAGACATGCTGAGGGTGGGTTATCACTGGTGACTTTATCTCATTGCACTTTAGAACTGTTTGTAGTGTTGTTGTAGCTAATTGTGACAGTTGTACAGCTAAAGAAAATAAATCTCTGGCATTAAATAGGTACTATTTAGTCCATCAAACTAACATGAGTGATTCAAGTCCATGTTTGGGATATGTGCAATCCAAGCTCTTGAGAAGTTTCAAAGTTCCTAATTCTCACTCTTGACCTATTAATGATGTAGGGAAATACCAAACGCACTGAGAGACTTATATCCTCTTTGTCCACATTACTACACTGTGTATCAGCAACCCAGCAATAACTAGAGCTTCATGATGTAATTGCTTCTAATCAACAGAATGACCTAATAAAGAGGATAGAAGGTGAAAATCGAAGTGAATGCATTTGATTTGATGTATTTTGTAAATTTAAGACTAGTCATCTAGTTTGGGTCAGAGCTGATATATTGGGTTTATTTTGCATGCAATTGTTGCTTCTGATGGAATAGTGGTCATGCAAAGGTTGAGAAAAAATCCATCCATCTCCTTTCCAGTGAACAGAACTTCACAATTGAGGACTTCAGTGAGTTTACTTCTGAGGAACCTAACAGTAAAAATAAATCCTTGCATGTACTCCAAGTCCTCGTGTCAGTGACCTGGAGTACTTAGTTTGCAGTACCTATGATCTATTTTTATACTCTTGAGCAATACTTACCTCAGATTTGTAGTGGAGTTTGGCTGACGTTGTGTCTTGTATACTTTAATAGCATTAAAAGCTAAAGTATAGCGTTGTGGATGTGACACTACTTATTCATATAATGCTTTGAATACAGTTAAGAGATCATTTCCACCTGCCTATTTGGGTTCAATTTACAAGCCTCTCTCTATTGCGTATTAATTGAGATTGGGAATAGGCAGCACCTAGCTTGGAATACTGCAGTACAATTCAAATAACTTTTTCAAATAAAATGCCCTTCCAAACTAGAGCATTAAGAGGATTTTAGTGGTTTGTATTTCAATTTACCAAGGTACAGATCAAAACAGCTGGGTGCACCAAATAAACACAGATTATAGTCAATGTGTTTACCGCTGTTTAATGTTGGATACTTGTGCTGATCCCATATCTGTTGCAACTATCTACCCTGATGTTTACAATTTTTTTAAAATATGATTTGGGTTGTTGATACCAAAGAGGAGAGTAGTTTTGGGGAGTGTATTTCTATAGAGTATTCATTGACATTGAAAACCTCATGATCTTTACATGTGATATAATACCTTATTAGGCTGTTGAAGCATCTCAAAGCGCTTCATAGGATTTTATTGTAAAATGTAGTGACTATTGGTGGATAAATGTTGCAGCCAATTTACACACAGAGATTTCCCACAAAATTCTATGAAGTGATTGGCCAATTTATCTGGAGGATTGAGACTGGGAGAAGCTTCCTTCTCTTATTGTATGGTGCCTTGGGATCCGTAACAGATAGACAGAATTTTGGTTTGTCTGAAGGACGATGAATTGGCTGGTGATGTATGCAGAAAACATTGCTGGACATTGCCTGAACAGTCTCTTACATAGCTGACATTTACTCTAGTGCTGAAATCAGCTGATTGTGAGAGTTGATAGACTTGAAGAAGGAACTCAACAGGTGACTTTCCAAAATAGCTATCCACTGACGTCAGCAATTAAAACAGTCCCTTCACAGACCCTCATTAGACTGCCATTTACCTCAGGAGGGCTCAAAGCCCTGTTTGTTGGATGTCAAGTGACCAACTAGTGAGTATCTTCCTTGGGGAGGAGATAAGCAACATCTCCTTGTTCCTGAACTAGCTTCAAGGTGACCTGTTTGGCAACAAAATGTTAGAATCTGTAGCTGTCTCAGTGGTCCAATTCCTGAGCTAGGCAGGTCCGCTGGCTCATCAGCAGGACTTGGAAGGGCGGATCAGACACTGGGGACAAGGAGGGAGAGTGTTAATATGGCAGGGAGAGTGTTCATTTCATACCAAAAAAATCTCGGAAATTTGCATGTATAAGTGGACGCATGGAATTTTGTTTGGTTTGGATACTCTGACATCCATCATCATGTTTTAGACACCTGACCAAAAAAGAATGTATTCTAAATACGAAATAGCGCTAAATAACGTCACTGTACATTTCCCCTTTAATGACTGTACTCATGGATCTCACATGTCACAGCATAAAATAATTTGTAATTAGTGGAAGTAGTAAGATGGAGTATGTGTTAATACTTCTCACCCCTTCCCCCCCCATCTCGATTTCCTCTTTTCATTCCTTCTTTGTGCCCCTCCTTTATAGAATTCCTTTATCGTGACCAGACACATTGAGTTGTGTCATTTGCACATTTAATCTGTAGGTGTTCTGCTTCTGTACAAAAAGGTATTGCAAACTCGGCACAGCTTTAAATTAAAATAAATGTATTGAGATGTTGAAACACTGTCTGTCCAACGCCTTGGGACGTCCTCCCGACATGAAAGGTGCTATACAAATATAATGTTGTTGTTGAAAGAAATTAAAGTATGGCAAAACCAAACCACACATATGAATCTTAGTGAATTGCAGAAAATGAACTGCTTCTGATGTAGCCAGCACAAATCTCTTGTACCTGAACTGATTAATTTATGTGGTAATGTATCACTTGGTACTTAATCTAACACACACTAGTGCTGTTCCCTAAGGCACCGCTCTCCAGCCTGTGCCCGTTATACTGCAAACCTGAGTTTCATTTATTTCAGGACCTAGAAATAGCGCAAGGCCACTTGTCACCAAGGTCCAACTCCCACCAGAACATCATGAAATGGAAGAAAAGTCTAGGAGGGGTATTTTCTGTTCAAAGTATTCTCCTGGCTTCTAATAAACAATGGCAGTTTTAAAACTGTTCAGCCTTTTTGCAAAATATGCTGAAGATTGCATGACTAAAGGGACCTGCTCACCTCCCATCCCAGGATGCCCCATTTCCCTTCAAGGGGACTGGTTTGGGACTTAATCTCAAGTCAGCTAACTTCAGGAAAGAGCTATATTTGCAAGTGTGGGGCATCACAGAGCTGGGGGAATGCATTTAGTCAACTTTCCTTTGTCCTTTAAATATGCAAGTGCTCATTGAAACCTGCACACATAATCATCTTGAGATCAATTATGTAAATAAAAGTAATTCAGTTTGTGAACGTTGGAAAGCACATAACGTGTAGCTTGAATCATCATTAACTAGTAGTGGAGAGAGAATGTTTCATGTCCCTTCTACCATCGAATATTCTATTGTCTCGCTTCAGAAGTAATACATACTGGGATGTAGAAATATTAAGAGATGTGGGAAAAAAAGACCAGAAAATGGAATTATGAAGAGAGTTGCTATTGAGCAGGCTGAATAGGCACCTCTTTGTTTGTTTACTCACAGGGTAATCAACAACTGGCACGGGTTGCTGGGAAAGGTGGCTGAGGCTAGCACACTAGACTCATTTAAAAGCAGTTTGATCCTGTGATAGGGGGCAGGGGTAAGGGGTATGATAGGGTGGGTGTTCTTGAAGGATGAGACATTGTATGCTGCTTTTAATGCTCCTGCAGTATTAAAAGCAGTATACAAGAAGGGTAACCAATATGTTGCCCTACCCGTTCTAAACAAGCTTCTGCTCTGCCTTGTACAATAACTTGTACACCAAGCAAACTATTTTTGGACTGGAGCATTAGCTGCAAACATTAGCCAGAAGGAATATTTAAGCTTCAAGATACGTGAAGGGCATCTTGAGAATGCCCAAAAGGGATAAAAATTGTGCTCCAAAACGTAAGTCTTGAGGTGTTGAGCAGCATTGACACAAATGTACATTGGTGTATAAGGAAGGGGGGGTCACTGTGATTTGTTCAAGTTACAAATTTACCTCTTACTTCATCCTGAACAGGCTTGAAAGAATTGTCATTAATTTTATAAGAATTGGACCTCGTGCCTCTACACTGCAGATTTTGATTTGTAGGTATTTGAGGATACTGATCAACTTTCATTTGTTTTGTTTTTTAAATCAGCATCATTTTGTTAGCCGAGAGCGCTCACCAAGGGTTCTCTGTGACCTTATTGCAAGAACAAAAGCAGCCGTTCGAGAGCTGGATAATCTTCAGTACAGAAAAATGAAAAAGATCCTCTTTCAAGAAACTCACAATGGACCAATGACTGAGTCGCAGGAGGAAGAGGAGGTAAGATGCAATGGCAATAAATAAAACCAACATTACAATCAAGGTCTATATTTCAGAGTTGATGAGAGACAGGTCTACATATTACACCATGGTATCAGCGCTCATTATTTACCTATGATTATTCTCAATGTGCAATGCTTCAGTATTAGGACATTTAATTGTTTTTATTTGTCTGATGAGTCAGTTAGTAAATTGGCCACATGGTGGTGCAGTGAGCCACACAAAGGGGTCCCTAGTTTGATCTTTGCTCTCTGCTCTATCATTTTTAACTCCGTTTTGGAAAATAAATGCCCTCTGCATCGTTGACGAAGGAAAGGAGAAATCAGTTTGGGCTTTTTGTCCTAATCAATATCCTGTAGTTACTCAGTGCATCTTCTGGACACTGAAAATAACAATGTCAGTTTCACAGTGATGTCCCTTCTCTTTTCCCCTGCCCTGCACCCCACACACATAATAAAATAGCCAGTTCCTTAATGCTTGTAATCTGATGATTTATTCCAGTGGAACTATAACTCAGTATAAGTTACTGGCTTCAAGAGAGCAGGGGAAAAGGAACAGAGTAATCTAAAACAGTTTAATAAATGCGGGAATAAATGCATAATTTTTTTAAAAAACTGGAACAAATGAAAGAGACAAAATTCAAATTATGGTCATCATCAGTAGTTCTAGTTAACAAGAGTAATGGTGATGAATTGTATGCTTGGAACAGAAGTCCAATATACATGAAGTTACTCTTCATTGTCTCAGCTTCTCTTAAATGACTTGTGTTAACCTTATAAAGTGATGGTTAATTAAAAAGGCTTTTGCAACCTTGCAAAACTCAAAAGGCATTAAAAATAAATCTTCCTTTTTTTATTGGTAAATGCATTCAGAACAGAAATTAGCCAATGTAGAGAATGTTTGGCAGTTGGAAAACTTTCTTTTAATAACATCACCCAGATAGGCTTTGAAAATTAGGTAATCCATTTTGCATATTTTGTTTTGTGTATTTTTCATAAAATAAACTTCTCCAAAGTTACAATTGTTAAGCTCTCATTTTGCAAAATGCACACAGTAGAATCATTTTCTTAATAGAAAATATTTTAAAATTAATTTCTAAAAGTAAAGCATATACAAAAGACTCCTTTGCATAATGTTTGAATGTTTTACATTAGTTGAAAATTAAGTCTTCAATTTAAAGGAATATGCAAGGTTAAGTTTACAACTTGTTTACAAGGATTTGTTTACAAAAAACACATATTTTGAATAAAATGTGATATCGTGCTCCTGTGATATTCCTCTGGTACCTTCGCCAAGAATGACCACTTATTGCTCATCAACCAAGATAATGTGCGTCAGGCTGATCATTTATGTTTTGACACAAATATTATTTTAACAGGGTACTGGATGGTGATCAGGACTGTGAATCCTGGCTTAGTTTAACTTTCCTCCTCTTTGCTGGCCCAACCCAATTACCCTTTCTATCTTAGGAACAATGAGGTCAATTGAACCTCCACTGATGGCCCAGTTGAAATCAACAGAAAATCAAAATTTGAAGCATCTCGGTCTCTGACAAATGTCTCAAGGTGCTGCTGGGCCATTTCATTTTTCTCCTCTCCCCATCCCCACCCCCACAAACTCTTTATTTACAGAAACCCAATCTCACTTTGTGCCTCTTCAAAACAATTCACTAACAGGCATTTATTTGATAACCTCCACAATGGTCTCCAGTAGCCATTAGATGTTTCTGTGTATGATTGAACATAGATTAGCTGTTCAGGATCGGATGCATGACGTTTCCACTAAAATATATTGTGTTTCTCTTAGTCTTTCAGTTTGTGTAAAGACATTCCACTATAGATGTGTTAAATGACTGATGTCGGTATGCAATGATATTAATATTTAAACTGATCACTCCAAAGTAACAACTGAATAAGAGCAACAAACAATAACTATATTTTTCTTGTCAAAACCTTGCATGTCAGTTTAAAATAATACTATTTTACATTTAAGATACTACTTATTGATTGCATTACCGCATCAAAACTATATTTCCACATCTGAATTGTTTTTATATATAGGTTAATGCTTAAGGTTTCAGTCCTATATATAAATGAACTTAACAAATGAGATTTGTCTCACCGCATGTGATTTCTAAATGCACGTCACCACTAATGCATGTTGGGCTATACTAACGTATTGCTTTCCTCTATCTTCTTACAGGACAGTGAGCATGGTGCAAGCCTAGGTAGTAAAGTAGACAGCCTGGGCAGTAATCAGTCCATTCCCAGTATGTCTATCAGCACAGGCAGCCAGAATAGCAGTGTTAATAGTCTGCATGAAGTCTTTGATAGCTCAGAGAACACCATGATGCATGATAGCGATAGCACCATGCAGTCCAATATCTCCGTCATCCATAAAAAGGTATGTGTTTTTGTGTTGTGTCAACATGTTTGCCTGTCTGAAATGTTTTCAAACTCGCACAAGCTACTGTTAAAATCTTTACCTGTAATGACCATCTTGGAGACCTGAATCTTAAGGAAACCTTGTCTTCAATATTGAGTGGCAATCTTTCAGGATTTAAATCTGAAAAACAAGCAATTTATCTCAACTTTCCCCAAGATCTTGACAATTTAAACATCGTTAAAGTAGAAGGTGGTAGCATAAATGTTTTTTGAAATATATTATTGCTCGTTAGGGGTTTTACCCACCTCGTTTCCTCCTGGATTGCCCCACGGCCTACTTCTGTTCCAGATTTGTCATCTTCCACTGCTCTATTGGAGTTACAGAGCAGTCAACTGAGCTACCCCATCTCTCTTTCACGTCGCAATATCCGTCCATCTTGCTCCCCAAAAGTGAACCATGCTTCGCTCACTCTCATTGCTACTTTTCACCAGGTTACACATTCCAGCAGACCCCATCCCATTTTCCGTAAAGTGGCTCTGGTTTCCAGTCTCCCTCTTAGTATGAACCCTAACTACTCTATATCATCCTTGCTCTCCACTGTTCATTTCACTGCTCCTTTGAGGTCCTCATCATCTACTCCCTTCCCAAACCTGATGGCTGACTTGCTCAAATCTCCTCTTTAATATCCTTTTACCTCTGTGGCGGTTTTGTAAGATGGTTGTTGAGACAGGCAAATCCATGGTACTCCAAGTCACTGTTGATGACCGTTTAACCAGCCTGGTTTGTCAATGGAAGTTCGAATGGATGTCATCTGCATACACATGGAAGTGAACCCCGTTTCTCCAGATGTCTCAGAGAGGATTGGGTGGGGAGCATGTAGATTAAACCTGCTAACTGCAGCATTTTGATCAAACTGCTGATATAACTCCATTGATGGCACTTTCAACTCTGGGTCAGAAGGTTATTGATTCAAGCCCTACATAAGGACTTTAGCTCACAATCAAGGTTGATATTCAGTGCAGTGCTGAAGGAGAGCCAGGAGATGCTGTCCTTTGGATGAGACTTTAACCTAAGGTCCCACCTGCTTCAATGTGGATGGTAAATATCCCTTGGTAGAATATGTTGTTTGAGACATTTCAGTGTGATAAGGCACTGTATGAAATACAGTTTGTTAATAGTATTGGTTAAAACACATTAACTTCTACCTATGTTTCTACCTCACTCCTGTCATGACACATAGCTTGTCATTGAAAGCAATGTCTGACAAGCTTCCTACTGTCCAGAGTATTGACTTGATTCTGGATTCCATTGCCAAGCATCTTACCTTGGTGCCAGCTCAGCTCCAAGGAGACCCAGCTTACCCCTCTTCCCCCCCAACCCCACCCGCCTTTCCAAGTCAAAGATAGATTTTAGTAGAGTGTCTATACAACCCACAATTCAAAGTAATTTTCCAGATCCCCTTTGTAAATGCATTTAAAAATAATTATCAATGGCTATATAGTGTGTTGAAGTTAATTACTGTGGGTCAAAACTCTGACTTGTGCAGTGTTAAATAAAAGACCATATGGGTTACATGTTCAAATCTGTGAGCAAGGTGATCTCAGCCAGGGAGCTATTGGGGCACTACCATAAATACACATAAAGCACTCTGATTAATAATAATACTCTTTGCATGTTAATGCTGAATAAGGCGATATGAGCTGGGATTCCCTTCTGATTGCTGTCTAGCAATGATAAACAGATTGTGCTGGGCTGAGCCCTGTATGAACACTGACTCATTCACTGTCAAGTCTCCCACGTTAGTAACGGCCAACTGGGTAAGAACCTGCACCTGTGGAACCATTCCCCAGGGAAAGAAAAAGGAATCGAATGCCTTTTTTTTAAAAAGAAAAAATGCTGAGGGGAAAATGATTAGTAGTTGATTTTGTTGAGTTGGGGAATTATTCTATTATCATTTTAATTTGGGGGGATTATTAGGCCAGATTTTAAATGTATCTTGACTACAGTTGTGTAGAAGTTTGAGTCATATAGAAATGATCAAAGTTTCCTCACTTATAAATTGATTATTTTTAGTTTTATAAAGATAAATACAAATATTAAGCACAGTGCTGAATAAAGCTAACAAAGGTAGACAAGACAAAACTTGTAGCTGAAGCAGAACATTGATGGGAGACCTCTGCAGCTAAATTAGTCAAAACTTTGTTTTGGTTTATAAATGATAGTATTGATTCAGTCATACTTTGTGAATTCCGTTGTTATCTATCACATTAGAGACACAGATTCCCTTGGATAATTAAAATAGGTGGATAACAGGTTCGGCTGTGTGCAATTGAAGGGGAGGTAGGAGCAGAGGGCAAGACTTTGCCCTACTTTTGGTTAATATCTTTCGTCCACAAAACACAGTAATTGTGTTTCTCTCCCCGTGTCCTCCAAATAAAATTGGTCCTTCACTTCATAGCTGCTTGCAATATATTTGCTGTACATAAATATGCTGCCTTGTTTGACCAGAAAATGTACAGTGACTGCACTTTACAGTACATCCTGCAAAGCACTTTTGGATGACCTCCTGACGTGAAAGGCAGTATATCAAATGTAAGGATTATTATTGCGGATAATGGGATACCGATCATTAATATTTAGAAAACGTTTATACTTGTTAATGAAATTAATCGTTGCTAATTTCTTTGAACTTTTGATTTTGTTTTAGAATCCATTCAAGTAAGAAATGAAAATTCTAACTGACTTTTCAGATCTTGAATATGGTTCCAAAGATGATGATGATAATCCTTGCATTTGATACAACACCTTATCACGTTGTTGAGACATCTCAAAGCATTTCACAGGATATACTGTAAAGTAGTTTGACTGTATTTTGTGGACGAAACGTGGCAGCCAGTTTCCACACAGCCATGGAGTGAGTGGCCAATTTTATTTGAGGTATTTGTTGGCCAGGATACCTGGAGAAACTCCCTTCTCTTTTCGAATAGTGCCACGGGATTTTTAACATCCACCTGAACAAGCAAACTGGATCTCGATTTAACATCTCATCCGAAGGACAGTGTATCTAACAATGCAACACACCCCCAGCACTGCATTGAAGTTGTAATCTTAGATTATGTTTATCCCAAGACCCAACATGGGACTTGAACCCACAACCTTCCGACTCAGGCAAAAGTGTTACCCCTGAGGCAGGCTGACACACTAAGGATGTCTCCTTAGCTCAATCTTTAATACCTGAAAAAAGCTCAAATAGATTGTTTTGACATCTGTTCCTACAAAGAAAAAAAAAGATCTTTAATGCACTTAATTGTTCCTGCTTTTATTGCCAACCAGCTTAATACCAATTATATTTAAGTGTAAAAAAAAGTGTCAGAGCTGAATATAAAGAATCGGTTTTGTACAAATATTTCCCGCAAATGATCTTTTTGAAAATGTTGCATAAGATTTTTCTACCGAAGGACTGCCAGAAATTCAGGAAGCGTCCCCACGACTGATCAGCTGACTCCCTATCCTGCAATGTGTTGGTTATTCATTTCACTGTTCAGCTGCAGTGACTGGTATAGCTAACTATGCTTTTCATACAGTGCTTGCAAAAGAAGCCGAGGTTCAACAAAGGTATCCAGCGGGGAAAGCACACAGCTTGACATCGCGTTTGTTTTATCCCAATTCAGCAGGATCATGTATTCATAAGGGATGAAGGAGGCCAGAAAGACAGCAGGCCTGATCTGCGGCCTACACCAACTCTCCATAGTCAGGCCTCTCTGCTTAAGAATCGGGAGCATTTTGCTACAATCAGAACAGCATCTCTGGTAAGAAATGTCAAACAAAGGGTTTTTGTCCAATGCCTTTCTCTCTCTCTCTCTCTCTCTCTGCAACGACTGTTGATGCTGCTGTGAACATGTTAATCGTTTGAACAAAGCCATAATTTCTCCATTGGTCCACTAATTACGGAAAGGAGGTTTTTTTTTTTAAGAATTCATGCAACAAAAGATTTGCTTAAAATTCTTCTCCTGCTCTCTCTGTATTTTTTTTTAAACATTCTAGAAATGCGGTCAAACGAATAGTGCTTCGGTATTGAAATATTCACCGTTCAATGGATTTATGGTTGCAGAGATTTAATTTAATGTCAAATGGGTAATCTGTCGAAGCAGTGAGATGGCTCATTCTCACAGGAATAAAACGGGCTGAATGAATGTATGCAGTATTTCAGCATTCGTATGTTTGGACAGATATCCCCATTTATAGATCGAACAGAGGATATTAAATGTCAGCTCGAAAAATGCAAGTTTTATTTTATTCGAAGAACTAAGAACTCCCGAACATCGGGGTCATGAGTGGCTTATGTAGCTCCTTCCCTCAAAGCACATTCTGCAAAGGTAATAGCAAGAATTGGTTAGACCACAGCATCTGCAGGATGTGATTTGAAGGTAAATTAAATTCCAGACCTCTATTTTCCAATCGTTGTGGCTTGATTTTTTTACACTGCTTCCTTGCACTCCAATTATTATGTTGCTTTGTTTAATTTTTATTTGATGAGATTGGAGAAAATGTGTCTTATTTCTTTCTCTTCCCCTCCCTCCCCCACCAATCTTCAAGCCCCCTCCTGTAGTATGACTGTGAAACAGCAGTTATGGCAGCCTTGAGAAATAACCCACATCTCACCTTTTGTGAAGTAGGCTCTGTAGACGTGATTTATGTTGTGAATTTTTAAAATATATATATATATAATTGCATTTTGGAGTTGTAAGAATGGGAGCTGTGTTGCATTGCTGTTAGCGTAATTAATTAAAGGCTATGGTTGTGTCTGTTTTCAGATTGTCTGCATTGATTGTGTTAATATTTTGTGCGCGATTTTCTAATTCACCTGTTTCAGACACTTATTATACCTCGGATAGTAACTTACTATAGCAATGGGTGATGTCATTTAAGGGAGGGTTTTTTTTGGTCAGCTGGGCATCTGACACACTCAGAAATCTATTCCAATACAGACTATTCCAAAGCAGCTCGACCTATACATTCCACTTAAATAGAAATTTCCCTGTGTCTGGAATGGGGTGCAAACACTCTTCCCAGGGGGGGACACCCTTCTTATCCAATGGTAATAGGCACAGATAGGCAAGAGCAAAGCTTGCAATGCCAGAGTGTGCATGGGTATTACTTCAGTTTAACCACTTAACGCTATAGAGCTTGCCATTGCCCTTACTATCTGGCAGTGGCAAGCTTTGTTAAGCTAGGACCATCTTACCCTTAAGAACTTTGGCTCGCAGGAGCTGAGTGGGAAGAGTCCCAGCCCCGAGTTACTTATCCGCCCCTACAAGTCTTGTCAATGATCCAAATTGGTTAGTTTGTTATCAACAGGTCCGTGGCATATTTTAGACCTACTATCTGGTGCAGGAATCTGCCTTAGAGAATCGGCTTAATTCCATCGCCAAATACATTATCGTGGAGGCATTCAGGCCCTCAGGGACCCAACTTATCATTTGTCTTCCCCCCACCCCACCATCCAGGATGATAGTTGGTCATTAGACACCTGATGAGCACAGGATGGATTGTTGGTTATAGGAATTCCTGTGAGGCTCTAGGTGAGCATCACAAGTCAGTATGAAATGAGTGAGCGCTGCTGGTATCCTCCTGCCCACAGCTCAGACACACCCCAACCCATTGAGCAGTGGATCCACCAGTTGAAGGTGTGGAGCTCAAGCAACAGCTGCTTTGCTCCCCTGCGTGCTAATCAGGATAGATACCAAGCTCCGGATATATGAGCATGTGTTCACAAACCCAGATTCCAGGTAATACCTTCCAACAGCTGTCATCCCGCGCATCAATTTCTTCATCTACATTGATTTCCTGATAAGATGAAACTCTGTTGCCCCTTACATCACATCATACAGAGAGAAGATTTTTTAGTGGAATGTGCTGTGAGCCTGGAAATAATAATAATAATCCTTGCATTTGATATAGCGCCTTATCACGTCTTTGAGACATCTCAAAGCGCTTAGCAGAATACACTATAAACTGTAGTGATTGTGTGCTTTGTGGGCTAACCACGGCAGCCAATTGTGCACGGATCAACCCACGGATATGCCTACCTTCCTTATTTTTTTAAAATTCAGAATTGTAACAGATTACATTTGTATAGCACCTTTCACAAGCATAGCTGTCTGCTATACCATCCACTTAACTATTCTTACAGTTCCTCATTACTAGCTTTAAGAAAGGTGGGTGATGTTGAGACGGCAGAACAAGAGGATATAGGTTCAGAGTTGTAAAGGGCAATTTCAGAATGGATACCAGGAAGTTTTTATGCAGAGGGTAATAACAACTGGACTCATTTAAGAATCAGCTTGACAATGTGAAGGGGTAGACAGCCAGCAGGGCAAGTATTCTGGAGTGATGAGATTGGATGGGCCGATCTTGTGATCTGATCATACTGCTTGTTTTCTACTGTTTAATTTTACAAATTATAACTTGGTAGAGGACAACTATCTATGGATGTATTGTATTCAAAGATGGGGAATCTCCTGTGTCTTGACTATATTGAGCACCCAGGACAGAATCTGTTCTGTAATTCAATTATTGACCCATTTACTACTTGTACAATATCCTTGCTGCAAAGGAGAGTTTTTCTTGTTCCCAAAAACTCAAGATTTCAGGTTTTGCTATCCATTCACAACAAAGTTCTTTTTTCTGTTCTAAAATAATTTCGCTTCCTCAATCAATTCTCATCACTGCCACTTCCCAACTCAATTCGTCCTTAAGATAAAATAACATTGAAGATTTGTACTATTCCTGGTGCCTGCCATCTTTTATCTTGCCTTTCATTTTAACTCTTTGAGTGCCATGGTAGATTTCACCTGACAGCCTTGAGCTCTGGGTGTCCTGACAGGTGTATTCACAAGAACGCAGACCATTTTCTGGTATTGATGTGTTAAAATGCATCAGAAACTAATCCGGTTTCATGTGTGTCATTCTTCCAACTCTGGGTTTCTATTGCTTACCACTTTTACTTTGTCTTAAGATGGAGTAATAATAATAATCCTTGCATTTGATATAGCAAAACGCTCAGCAGCCAATTGCGAACAGCAGTGTCCCATAAACAGTTGTGGATTGAGTGACCAATTTATTATTATTAGATTAAGTTGGATTGGGTAGGGAAAAGGAAAAGGGGGTAGGCTGAAGGTAAAGAGAGGGAGTGAAGTTAAGGTGGGGGGGTACAGGAAACATTAATACTCCTGATAGATTAATTTTACACCTGCAGTGTTTCTGTTCATTTCACCAGTGTGGAAATTGAAAACATGCAAAGCCACCACCTGGCTCACGGGATATTTTCAGCGACCTTTCAGTAGTCTTACGGGTTTAAAATCTGCTTGCCACGTGGGTTTTGCTACCACACCTTTTGCTAGTGCAGATTAGCTGTCACGCTTGCCTACATTTTGTTACAGATTTTTTTTTCCCCAGGAAATCACAATTATTTTGATTCTTAATTTCGGTTCTGACTATTTTGTGATTGAGGTGGACATAAAGGACCCACCTGCCCTTTTTGCCATTTGCTATTTCAAAGAAACGTGGAGTCTTTCTCCTGGTTGACCTGGTTTCTAATTTATTTCCCTCCTCAACCACATTTGCCCCCAAGGCAAATTAAGTGTCTGCTCCTCTTGTTTCTGTTAATGTGGCGATGCTGGGACAGATGTATCGATGTAACAAACATCCCTTAGTTTCTTATCAATTTCTCAGCATATATTTTGTGAAGCATTGAGACATTTTTTTCCACGAGATGACAATATTTGGGTAGCAGCCTTCATGGAGGATAGTATCTCGGAGCTCTTCACAGTGGCAGTGTTGGGTGCTGAGCAAGGTGGGAGGGTGTGGTCAAAGAGGTAGGTCTTCAAGTGAGATTTAAAGGCAGAGGGGGTGAGTTGGAGGGAGTGAGTTTGAGATTAGGGGAATAGTGGCTGAAGGGTGGGATGGAAGAGTTGAGGGATGCGCAGCAGGGCTGTTGTGGCTGAGCGAAGGGAGCGGACAGGGAAGGGTATAAGTAGATTAGAATAGTGTAGATGGACACAATCTAAATGTTAAGAATCTTTCCATTTGATAAAGCGCCTTATTGCATTAAGATGTCCCAAAGCGCTTCAGAGTTTGTGTAAAGTGCGTGTTTATAATTTTATTAATAATTATTCCTGGCCAAGAGCTGGTAAGAATTGCTTTTTATGAATTGGTTATCTGTGTGCATTGCTTTTCCTCGAATGTGACCTTTGCCTTGTCGACTGCTCTAGTCTACGCAAAAAGAGCAGCCAGGAACCAAGTGCCACCCAGAAAAAGCAGCAGACACCAGCCACTCCATTACAAGAACGCAAGCGCATTACATGAACCTCGGGTGTGAATTATTTTGCTCGTGCACGCAACCAAGATTAGTGTTGCCGAATTAAGCTCCAGTGCGACAAAGCAACAACCTCACCACTGTGTTCTTGTTCATCAGCTTTCTTTTTTTGTTGCATCTCAGACGGGTAGAATTGAAATCCAACAGGAATTGGAAAAATATAATAATAATCCCTCCAAAACCCAAAACAATAATAAATTGGTCATTTTTCAATCTACGACTGTTTGTGGGACATTGCTGTGCGCAATTGGCTGCCGCGTTCGCCCACAAATATACAGTCAATTCACTTTACAGTGTGTTCTGTGAAGCGCTTTGGGACGTCCTCCCGATGTGAAAAGCGCTATATCAAATGCAAGGATTATTATTAAGGATTATTATTATATTAACATTTTCCAAATCGAGTATAAATTTTTGGATATTTCTAATTCTAGGAAATTGCACATAAATTCCGCAAGCAGTGAAGTGCAGTTCAGAGGCTTAATAAATAGTGCAGCCCAATTTACACCCAGCAGTGTCCCACATGGGCACATCGTAAGTGATCGCAAGGGTTCGTCTTGAGAATGATTTCGTTTCTTGTTGGCATTAGGTTACAAGACAGATCCATGAGCATGAACAGGAAAACGAGCTGCGAGAACAGATGTCGGGCTACAAGCGGATGCGACGACAGCACCAGAAGCAGTTGATGGCTCTAGAGAATAAGCTGAAGGCGGAGATGGACGAGCATCGCCTCAAATTGGAGAAGGAGGTAGAGACCCATTGCAACAATGCATCCATTGAATTAGAAAAGCTGGCAAAGAAGCACCAGATTGCTATGGAGAAAGAGGTAAGACTTTCATTGATGCATTTCATTGACATCAACGTGCATTGATCCCACGAAAACAATCTTAAATCCTGTTTTTACCTTTGCAGCTTCCTTAAACGCGTCCACTCCCCTCCGCTTGGAAGACTGCTTCACGTCCCCTGCTCTGCCCACTCTACCATCAGCATTCGGGCTTTCAGCCTTCTGCCCCCATTCTCTGGAACTCCATCCAAATTCTCTTTGATTGCGAACTTTGATCATCTTTTTCCCCCTAATCCCTTGGCCCCACCTATCCCAAATCCAACCCCCAGCTCGGGTGCAAATCCTCGACTGTCCAGTGCCTTGAGATGTCTTCCCGATGTGAAAGATGCTATGTAAATGCCATCTGTTGTTGTTTGAACAACTAATTTTGAAGAACTTTAAAATTCACAATGTGAGTTAAAAAGTTCTTGGGATAGTTACCCCTGGGTTTTTTAATGTTATTGATGTGACTATTTCACTCCCAGCTCTTAAATCGTATTTTATAGTTGACCCAGAATTCCCACATTTCCAAAAAAAACTCTTCAGTTGTGGGTCAGCAAGTTTGGAGTAGAAAATACTCTGTGAACCTACTCTTCTGCTAATACTGGATTGTTTCGCCAGCTTTAAAGATAGTATAAAAAGGACATTTTTTAAAATAGAATTTGTTGCAGAAGCAACATATTTGCTCCAAAAATATGGAATAGTTTAATTGCAACTGACTCAATTCTCAACTTTAAACATTCTCGAGTTTTATTCGTATGTAAGTCTAATCTAAGTTGTCTCCAAAAGTGATGTCTGTGCCCTGGAAAACTTTTTCTTTGCGAGTGCTTTCAACTGAGTTAAGTGTTTGTCGTTGAAATAACATGTCTTCCTCTTCTCAGATTCTACCTAGTTGGCTTCATGTTTCACAGTGGCAATTCACTTGCCGTATTCGATTCATTGCAACAACAAATTGCATTTATTACTTTCACGTCGGGAGGACGTTCCAAAGCGCTGGACATTTGAGGGTTTGCACCCGAGCTGGGGGATTGGATTTGAGAGGGGTGAAGCCAGTGGGGGTAGGAAGATAATTGAAGGCACGGTCAAAGAGGAAGGTCTTGAAACTGACTTTAAGAGAGACAAGGGAAGGGGTGAGGCAAAGGGACTCTGGGATGAAGTTCCAGAGAGCGGGAGCAAAAAGGCTGAAAGTCCGACCACCGATGGTGGGACGGGCAGGGTGGAGGTCGTGACGCAGGCCAGCGCCTGCCGAGCAAATGGAATGGGTGGGTCGATGAGGTTTTAGAAGGTCACAGAGATGAGGCGGGGCAAGACCGTGAAGGACTTTAAAAGTTTTTCATTTCATAAAGCTGGTGTGGCTTCTTTCAGATGAAGGCAGCAGCACAGGAGGAAAAGAAAGTCCAGCAGCAAATTTCAGCCCAGCAGAAAAAGGAACTGAACAACTTCCTAGAGAATCAGAAACGCCAGTACAAGATGTGCAAGGAAAAGATTAAAGAGGCAAGTAGAACCTGGGAAAGACTATTTTAAACACAAATTGTAACTTTGTAAATTGATAATAAATTACAGCAGCTTTCTTAGTTTATGTCCTATGGAAACGTAGGAGTACCTATGTTTACTTGAGAATGCTTAGGCTTTCTAAAAAATAGAAAAAAATACTTTCAGTAAAAACTTACAACCTCGCTTGTTGGTATTTAACATAAAAGACACTTTTTTTGACAAGAGATTTTACATAGATTGTACAGCAGACAAACGGGCCCTCCAGCCCGACTTGTCCATCCCGGTGTTTTAAACTCAGTAAGTGTCTCCACTCACTTCTTACTCCCTCCCATACTCTTCTATCCCCTGCTCTCTCATATGAGATATCCATTGCTACTCCTTTACTGTTTCTTTTTGGTATTTCTCTTTTTATGTGCTCTTTCTAACTGTGGCCTTAAGTGGGTGTCTCCTATTGGAAGAAGACAGGTTCAACAAGATATTTAATGATTTAGAATTTGTGTGCAAGGCTGAAAATTAGCAGGTTTCATCGGGCAGAGACCAACCTCACCCTTGCTGCACTGTTTGCTGCATGTAAATTTCTAGCCAGTAGTTGCTGAGCCTGCAGTCTTGTTTGCCAACATACAGCAGGTCTCTACAGTTGATATTATTTGAAGTAAAAACTAACTTTTCATCCTTTCATAGATGCTGAAATTGCTGCAAATGCAATATTTGTAACTCACAAATAAACGACCCCCCCCCCCGCTCGCTTGCTGAGCTCACTGTTTAAACCTGCACCACGTCTTAACTGTTTCCTAACTAACACTGATCTGCGTTAAGAGTAAATGTGGTCAATGTTATGCCTTAATTCAGGACATTGGATTGGTCAGGTTGAAGGTGCTTTTTAATGGTTGTAGAATACGCAAATGCTCCTTTTTATTTTATGGAAAACTTTCAAATCCTGTTAAAGTTTATTTCACAAAATAGCAATTTTTTAATTAATAAAAATGATATACTGGGCATCATGGTTGATTACAGGTTTCTAATGCTTAGCGCTTTCTTTTCTGTGTATGTGAGTGTGAACAAGGACTGAAATGATTCTACGAGTGAACTTCTAAATACTTATTTCGCTTCGCAGGAGATGAACGAGGATCACAGTACGCCGAAGAAGGAGAAACAGGAGCGTCTGTCCAGACACAAAGAAAATATTCAGCACACGCAAGCAGAAGAAGAATCTCAACTTCTCGGCCGCCAGCGATTGCTCTATGATCGGAACTGCCGTGAGCTCAAACGGAAGTTAATGTTTATGCGGCACAATCTGGAGCAGGAGCATATTCGTGAGGTAGTATCAAATGAGAGAGACAACAAAAATAACAAAATTCATAATCCTTGCATTTGATACAGCGCCTCATCACATCGTTGAGGCACCTCAAAGCGCTTCACAGAACATACTGTAAAGTGAATTGACCGTATATTTTGTGGGCGAATATAGCGCCTTTCATGGCACTGGACAGTTAATTAAGGATTTACATCCGAGCTGGGGGTTGCAATCAAGAGCGGTGGAGGGTAGGGAAGATGAAGGGTTTCCGAAAGCACAACAATGAAAGAGGAAAGTCTTTAGACAGGCGTTGAAAAGATCTTAATCTATTTCACATTTACGTTCATTTTCTTTTTTTTTGCATTCATTGCACCATTTACCATTGGAGCCCTGTTACAACGTGATAATATGGTATTCCTGACCATACACAATGAGGCACAATCGCAGGTCAGCACTACAAAATGGCCAGCTTCCGGGTCATAGGATCCCTGCAGAAAGTGGTGTTGACAGCGACCTGCTAACCCAGAAATTTACCTTTTTTTTAGAATGCGAACCGAACTGTCATGGCCTCGTAAGGCGATTTGGTATTTTGTGGACCCTAGCCACCATGTTATAATGCGGTTGCACTGTATTTCATACAGTCATACCTTCATCCTTTCAGGTTTGCTATGTTGAATCAAGATCCTTGATTTTTCTTTTCCCCCATAATCTCAGGACTCCACCTTCCCATGACAATCTACAGGCTGTTAAAACCCAGGCTGGCTGTCACTTGTCCACTTTTCTTTCCTGCTGTTTTCAACCCATTCAATCTGGTTAATATGTTCGCCCAGATTGCTGCAAAATCAAAATGTTTTCCCTGTATTTAGGATTCACAATATGATGTAAATTCGTGGACTGTTCTTTAAAAAAAGACTACATTTTCTTCCACGAGATCAGTTTAAAGTGGTGGGGGGGAGAGCAGATACTTGATTATATGGAGAGAACCCAAGTTTCTAATGTTTCTGTCTGTCCGATAGGAAGTGAACAAAAAGCAAACGCAAAAGGAAATGGAGCACGCCATGTTGATTCGCCACGACGAGTCCACTCAGGAGCTGGAATTGCGACAGCTTAACATGTTGCAGAAGCTGAGGATGGACCTGATCCGCTTACAGCATCAGACTGAGCTGGAGAATCAAACCGAGTACAACAACCGCCGGGAGCGGGAACTACACAGGAAGCACGTCATGGAACTCCGGCAACAGCCAAAGAGCCTAAAGGTACGCGATGGGGTAGGACTTAGCAGGTCCTGTTTTGAGATTGAGAAACACTCTGCACCTGGCTCCATTAAAACTTGGGAGATCACCTTCTGGAAGCGTAGACAAAAGTGTAATTTTTTTTGACAGAAGCTTGGGATAACCTGGATAGTCCTGACGGAAATCCCCAACACATGTTTCATCACCGAATGGTTCAGAAATTGGGAATTATGAGATGTTAAACTGAAGTACCATATGGATATTTCACATTGGAAAAGAGAAGCGAGTTTCTCTCCCAGTGTCTGGCTAACTATCCCCCAAATAAAATTGGAAACTCATTTCAAAACTGTTTACAGGGACATTGCTGAGTGTAAATTGACCGCAGTGTTCACCCCCAAATTCAGTTACTTTTTTAAAAAAACTTTTATAGGTTTAATAATGCTGTGGTTATGCCGTCAGCAGCAAACCCACTTTACAGCTTGCAACAGACCAAAGGGAGTTTCTCCTGATGTCCCGTCCGGCAATTCACCAGATAAAATTGTTCATTCAGTTCATAAGTGTTGTGGAACCAATGCAGAGGATTATTGTTTTATAAAACAGTGAATTTGCTTTGTATGAGAAGTACCACTACTGATAAATTTGATGAGAACCATTAAACAAAATATAACCAAAATTGGAAATGGAAGGTTTTTTAAAGTTTACCTGCTTTATTTCATCACTATTGAATGTGTACGTGCAAACACCTCACTGCAAATCCTCCTCATACCTCCCACTTTCTCCTCTTTTAAATTCTGTTACCCTCCAGCCAGTGGACTTGAGTATAGTTTTGATTTTGATGAAATGCTGAGAAAAATGAGTTGCTTATGTAAGTAGGTTGTTGTTAGATCATCTTGTAACTATCTATGCACCTGGACTGTTGCAAAGCCTCCAATAGCCAATTGATTGCACATTTCTTGTGTAACCTGACATTCATCTCTCTGTGGTTGTTTATTGCAGGCTATGGAACTACAGATAAAGAAGCAGTTCCAAGACACGTGTAAAGTCCAAACTAAACAGTATAAAGCACTGAGGAACCACCAGCTGGAGGTAACTCCAAAATGTGACCACAAAATGGTCCTAAAAGCACTGAAGGAGGAGCAGACAAGGAAACTGGCTATCCTAGCAGAGCAGTATGAACAAAGCATCAATGAGATGATGGCCTCACAGGCGGTAGGTATTGTATAGAAATCAGTCTCTGCACAACCGACAATCTGAGAACCTGATCCATATTCCCTCGACCTGATAATGGAGCATTAACTATCTGATATCCTGGAGCTCAGTGGTTAGAACACTCATCTAGCAAGCGAGACACCTGGGTTCGATTCCCAGCAGGGCGAAATATTGGGCAAGTTTGCTTACTCCACACGCCTGTTTATCCGTTTTTAAAAAAAATTCGCAAAAAAGCAACCGACATTTTCCTTAAATTACATATAAACTTTCTCTTATTGCATTTTACCAATTGGGTTCATGATTTGTAACATTTCATAGACTTTATCAGGCTTAAAACGTCTGCTATTTTGGTTTCCGTCCCAAGTGTTTAATAATAATAGTTTGATACAGTGCCTTATCATGTCTTCGAGACGTCTCAAATCGCTTCACAGAATATAATGGAAAGTGAATTGACTGTATATTTGTGGACAAAATGCGGCAACCAGTTGCACACAGCAGTGTCCCTCAAATTGAGTGACCATAATTTTTTGAGAGATTATTATCCCTGGAAAGCAATCTGCCAATCGACTAACAACTGGGTTCCTACTTACTGCTAGGTAAACCGAGGCGTGTGGAGTAAAGAAACTTGCCTAAGGGTTCGCACTGTCAGGAATCGAACCCGGGTCCTCTCGCTTGCAAGGCGAGTGCGCTTAGGGTTAGGGTTAGGCTACTAAGCTACAGGACTGCACAAGGTAAGTGGAATAATACTGACGCAGGTGTTTGACTTTTATAGTTGCGACTAGATGAGGCCCAGGAAGCAGAGTGCCAAGCCCTCAAGCATCAGCTTCAACAGGAGATGGAGCTGCTCAACGCCTACCAGAGCAAAATTAAGATGCAGACTGAAGCGCAGCACGAACGGGAGCTTCAGAAGCTTCAGCAGCTCGTGTCTGTGCGCCGAGCACGCCTTGAACAAAAGGTCAGTTCAGAACAAAGCAGCCTGCATCCAGAGCATCACTCGTACCCTGACAACCCTCATTAAATGGCTGAGCAATGCCCTTTTTAACAATAAGTGTTGCACCTCAATCTTAGAAGCAAATTGCGCAAAGCGATGCTGGAAGATCGTTAGATCCCATGTTTGGGAAAAGCCAGTTGTTGCAGTACGTTAGAATTCATTCTCCTGATTTGGAATTACATGCTAAATATTCTCTCTCCCCCCCGGGCGGTTAAGTGGTGGGTTGGGACTTCATGCGTTAGGATGGCAAGTCCGTATTAATCCTTATATTTGATGTAATGCGAGTAATAATAAAATGCCACAGTGAAGGACTGTAAAGTGTAGTGACTGTGTACTTGTAAGACAGCAACAACAAAAATCAAATGCAAGGATTATATATATATATATATAATAACCTTTCACGTTGAGAGGACATCCCAAGGCATTTCAGCGTAAATGTAAATTTGTTGTTTGTCGTTGTTGTTGGACAGTTGAGAGTTTGCCCCGAGCTGGGTGTTGGATTCAAGAGGGGTGGGAGCATCCTATCATAAAGACTTGGGCTCTGAGTATCTCATTGGTAAGGTGTTTTTTTTTTACAAAAGTTAACAGCGGTGAGTACAATTTAATAACGTTCTCTGTTTGATTCCGACAAGATTGAAGAGGAACTGGCTGCACTTCAGAAGGAGCGCACGGAGAGAATCCGAAATTTATTGGAAAGACAAGGCCGGGAAATTGAGAGCTTTGATATGGAAAGCCTCCGACTTGGGTTTGGAAATCTCGTTACATTTGAATATCCCAAGGAGGAGTATAGATGAGAAACTATGCCATAACCTTGCCCACGTACCCTAATCATGGGCTCACTCGTTGAGGGCAGACATCACCTCTGGACTAGTGCCTCCTTAAAATTTCCTTATAATCAGGGCCCCATTAATGTTACAAAGAACGCTGACCATTTGTCGGTCGTCTTTTAAAAAAAAATGACACAGTATTGATATATGTGCAATCATATTTTTTGTGAAATTGGAAAGCAGGATGTACATCGCTTATATTGATCATGCGTTACAAATGATTTGTAAATCTGTGCAGAAAGACAAATGTTATATCTGCAGCCTTATCCTACTCGCTGCTAGCTTCTTTTCGGTATTTATTCATCAGGAAATTTTTTTAAGATTGAGCAATTTGATACAACCGAATTTGACGTACACGTCGATCGTACAACGTGCTTCTGGGAAATTTAAAAGCGTTTAGAAATGCTGGCAAGAGAACCTTGATCCAGTCTTTTGCTCATATAATCATTTTCTGCTGTGGCAGACGATGTGTGTATACTGTATGTGAATCTTGGGACCCAAGTAGCACAATACGCCAAGGTACTATCACATATATTGTATAGATGGAATTCAGGAGAGCTTTTACTTATTTTCATAAAGTATTTTAATGGTTCCTCAAATTAATTTTTTAAATGACTTTTCGTTCAGTAAATGGAAGTAAATCTGGGTGTCAATGGGATCTTCTATTGGAATTTTCCATCTCGACCATAAATGTTGCTTACTCATACTTACAAGCTGTGTATTTTCTTACCAAACAAATCCGTAAGATGCTTTACTATTGCATGCACATTCCAATTTTTTTCAGGTAAAATAGCATGACTCTGTCAAAGCAAAAATGAGCTTTTAATCATATTTGTAAATAAAAGTGCTCACCACAGTATGTTGAATTATTTGGGCAGATTCTGTACTGAAATCTGCACTTTCCGCTTCACAGCAATGTTGAATATGAAACCTGTGTGACCAGGGAATCGCTGTTATCTGAGAATTTGTGACTTTATATTTTTGCCTAATCATGTACCTATGTTGCTGAGGTGTTTGGGGCCAATTTGGCTTAAGAGATTCAGTGCGGACAGAAGCCATGAACCGTACAATGAAAGTACAAACTGAAGAACAAATGTGCATTCATTCCATCAATGGCATAAAATACAAATGGAAATAGAAAGACTTGGTTGGCTCAGCATCCACGATGCCCAAATAGTGCAAGACATAAAAAACAAAGCGAACATCATGCTGATGTTACCAAATCATTCTGAGTGCCAGAAAGTGTGCCAGAGCTGAACATCATTCTGAGTCTGGTCACCTTTGGATTGCTGTGTATAATTGCGACTTGAGGCGCTATGACAGCACAAAGATAGGGAGTGAACAACTGGGGAAGCTACCTCAGCCTCGAAAAGAACCCTCTCGGACATAACCTTTATAGAGGTATATCAGAAATATTATAGCGGAGGGATATTAGGTGCTAGGTAAAGTAAAGCAAGAACAATCATTGTCCTATAAACCAAAACAGGAAGTCACTAGTTCAGGGGCAGGTTGTAAGAGCTCCAGTCTATGACCAATGCCTAAGACAAGTCAAACAGCTAGTGATTTACCAGGCAGGGTAATTGAGACTTGCAGACTTTAAGTGTGGTATTGTGTTCATAGATATCTCAAAGGTTGCCCATTTTCATGAAGGCCTCAATTACAGGAGGAGCATTGACACTATGCAGAAGAAGAATTGGGCAGAAAGATGCGTGGGCCTGCAGGAGAGTTCCACACAGGGGAAGAGCTGGACAGGGTGAGGCAAGAAAATCTGGGTGACTAGAAAAGGTAAAGGGCAGAGACTGAGTGGGCAAAGGGGAAGAGTATCAACAAGGCTGGGAGGCGACAGCAATGGTCAAAGCAAGAGAACAGCGGTTTGAATAGGAAACTGGTCAATGAGCCGAGATGAATGAGGGCTGCAGTACAATCAATAAGGTTGGGAAGCAGATTAGCAGGAGCTGAGGGGAAGGAGGAAGATTAACCATGGCACTGAACTGCAATAGGGATTCACAAATGGCAAATCTTTTGACTGGAACCAAAATCATTTTGATCCGAACTGCACATATTTCAGCCTTCAGTAAAATCGATGAATCGGATAAGCGGAACCTCGTCTTGAGTACAAATAGCAAGTGCTTTGTGAAACATTTTCTTGTTGGATGATAGTAACATGACAGTTAGCTACAGCGGGATCACTTCCTAGGCTACATTTATACAATTGTGTACCCGCATGTGTGTGTGTGTTGAAAGCAGTTTAATATCCAAATGGCTACCCCCAAAACATTTTCTATGTCTGCCAATGAAGCGAGAAACTGGGCGAAAACAAAAGTTTATATTTTCAATGCTGCAATGCTTTCCTAGCCTTACATAAAGAACTTGTATTTTCATAGCTCTTCGTTATATTCAAATATGATGCTGTGGGTCATATTGCTCTGAAGTACAGTGCTTTTTTCTTTTTGAGTGAACGATCTAGACTTTTGCAGTAGCAAAGTGCAACAACTGCCAAGAGGTGAACGGTCAGTCAACCTGGAAGAATTGTTGGTCAGACTACCGGCAGAAAGTCATAGCTATCTCTTCGATTTCTCCACGGTCCGCTTGACTTTGCCTCTCCGGACGGGTTGCAGTTGTTTTCATACAGTGGCACCTAGACTCTTAATGCCCTCAGTTGGTTACTGGACTATAATGTTGAGTTTCGTCTATTCAGCTGCTACAAACCTCAAAATCAAGTATATAATTCCAAAGCTTTGTTTTGGCTGTCAACTGCCAGGTCACTTTAACATCTATCAAGTTGTCAGATGACTTAAACACGATTCTTTATTTTTGTAGATTTTATTCCAAGCCAAGAGTCCTTTTATTTCACATACGTTCTGCGATTATAAATAATGCTTTGCATTATTGACAGATGTAAAGCCTTGTGGCAAAACGTCTCAAAGCACTTGATTATTTGCTGGCAAATGCAGCTGCCAATTTGTGCACAGCAGTGTCCCACAAACAGTCACATGAAGTGAATGACCAATTTTGTACCTGGGAGTTTGTTGGCTGCACCTTTTCTTTCTGAATGGTGCCTTAATATTTAATAACCCCAAATCCTTATTGTCAGAAACTTATCTTTTTTTAATCCTCGTTTCAGTCCATTCAGCCTTGCAAATCAAATCACCAAAACTCTTCTGAAAATTGTGTGAATTCTTTAGAAGCAGAAAGTGCACAAGTCCATCACTTCAAGTCTTTCATTGAACCCACAACCTTTTGACTCATAGGCATGTGTGCTAACGTCTGAGCCAGACTGACTCTTCCTGTCTAATATTGGTGAATAGGGATCAATCTACAGTAAACTGATAACTTGACCCTGACTTAACTGTTCCCAATTTTACTCCCATGACGCAACGTGTCCAGTAAATTATTGAACCCTTTGTTCTTGTCAGGATAATTTGTCCTTTAGATCGTGTTGAACTTGAGGGAGGGAGTCTTCTTGAAACCCGAACAGTGTGATGCTTTTCCTGCGTAGTTTTGTTACTTCTGGATTACGCAGCCTGGCAATAAACAGGAATGTACCAGATTCATGAACATTATGTTATCAGACTATGAACGTGCAATCTCTGTGGGAATATTAATTTTTAATATAATTTCATGACCCTGATCTTTGAACAAAAAAAATTGCTTTCAATAACATTGAAACAGTATGCCTAAGGTTCTGACGCTGGTTAACCAGAGCTCTCGAAGGACATCTGGTACATGCGAGAGGAGAGGGTTGAGGAATGACAACGCAATATTAATAGTTACAACAATTTTCACTGACCTCATCGCTCCATTGGTAAAGGGCTCAGTGACAACTTATCCAGAGTGGCAAGTTAGGCATAAGTATAAATACCTTATAAATAAATGAGATAGTTGGCCAGGATATCGACAGCATGATGACTTAAATGCTGGTGACAACTTAAGCCAGGGTTGACTTATCAGGAGTTTACTTGTACAAGGAAAATGTGTATGAATCGAAATTGTTTTGAAGCAGGAAAAAAAAGAAACTGCATAAAAGAGTGACTAAAAAGTATATACAACAGAGGAGTTAAAACAACTAGTCGTGGCAAAAATCTGTTCAAATTTTAACATCGGTTACCACAAAATGTTTATAATAATACTTGCATTTGATACAGCGCTTTTCATGTATTCAAGACGTCTCAAAGCGCTGCACGGAATATACTGTAAAGCAAATTGACTAATTTGTGGGTGAAACACAGCAGCTAATTGCGCACAGCAGCGTCCCTCAAACAAGTCGTGGATTGAGTGACCAAATTATTATTATTTTCTTATCGTTGCATGGGGATGTCTCTTCCTATTTTGTCCACATCTGAATCCCACTGACATCGGTAAGCAGTGCCAGCCACGGGTCCTTTCATGTTGTGCTGTATTCGGAACTTTGCGCTCTGGAACCCACCACGTCCAAAAAACTGAGTTGCAAAGGTCTTTCAGTGACGGTCAAACGTCCATTTTGCTCATACACAAGCCAGACGTAACGGTGGAAACCTGGAGAGGAATTTATTTTTAAAACAAAGGTACTCAGTATAGAACCTACGTCAGCAGTCTTGACAGTAATTAGAAGGTAAGGAATGATCAAATGGTCACAAAATGGGCAACTTTCACCCTTGTCTTATTTGACTTGACTTGCATTGATGTAAGCACTCTCTCCATGTAGTTTTATTACATTCTTCAGCCATCATCTATGATAGCGAGTGTTTACCTAGCAATCCTATCTGGAATTACATGGAACTTTTAGAGCACAGAAATGTGCCATTCGGCCCGACTAGTCAGAGCTGGTGTTTATATTCCACCCTCCCCGCAACTCCATCCCTCCTGATCCCCTCTCCCATGATCCTTCCATTCCCTTCTCCCTCGTGTGTGCAATCTTAAATTTGCTTTTCACCACCAGTTTGTTTCAAGCTTAAACTTATATAAGTCGTATCAGTCAGAGCCACATTTAATATGACTTGTGTGAAGTCCCGAGTTATTGGCAAACTATAGATTGTATAAAATCCAATTTAATCAATAATCTACACTGTGCATATGTAATTCAATGCAGCCGGTAAGTGCGGGAGTAATGGAGGACAGGTGAACGACCTTACAAGTCAGAAGATGATTAATACGAGTTGTCCAAAGAAATCTACATGGTTTTGATAGGAAACGGAATGGGACTTAGGCGGATGTACAACTTAGGTAAGTATATAATTTATAAAGATAACTTATGTGAGTCTTACTGGACTACAATGCAGCACAAGTACTTAAATGAGGTTTGCGCACACTGAGTTTGGAGTTACTCACCGGAGCCTGCAGGAGGCAATGAGCCTATGTATGGTGCTTGGACAATTCCACTGTCCATGTCATTCCCTTTCATGTTATAAAGCATAAAATGGCGCCATTCCCTAGTAAATGGAACAAGATTTTGCCAAGGCAGTCAGCGGTAACCCGGAGTTAAGGGCGAGTTCTGTTAAGCAACGCAAACTTAATATTAATTATCTAAATGGAGGGAAGGGAGGAGGGGAAGCGAGGGTGAGAAAGAGGAGAATGCCCATAAACAAACTGTCTTGTGCGTTTCCTGTCAAGAACATTTTAGCACCTGTGAATCGTACAGTTCTGACACGCTATGGATTAGTTTTCCACACACTTTAGATTATTTTCTCTTTGTCAGATCGGTGGTGGTAATGGGGAACAGGAAGAGGAAGAGGAAGGGAGGATTGTGTTTAGGTAACTCAAAACCCCACTTCAGAGGTTTTTTTTATTAATTCACTCCTATTAATCCGTATCTGGAAATATCGTTTGTGTTATCAATTCACTTAGTTTATCAATTCTCACTTATCAATTCCCCCCTTAGCCGGATTTACCTCTGGCTTGGGGCCGCCCTGCTTGGAGCATCCAGATCCACTAGCAACAGAGTGTAGAACTTGTTCATCTTCATTCCTTTCCAGTTGATAGTGAATGGACGATTCTTTATCTTTTTTTTTGGACAAAAAAATATCATACACCAGAAAAACAACAACTTACATCTCTCCTTAAAAGCTCTCTCCTTTGCCCTCCGTTTCCCCACGCTTTGTGCCCATTTTGTAATAATAAAAACGTGTGTTTGGTACAGCCGCTTATCACGTCGTCGAGACACCTAAAAACACTTCACAGAATATAATGTAAAGTGAATTGACTGTATTTTGTGGGCAAAAAGTGGCATCTCATTGCGCACAGCAGTGACCCACAAACAGTCGCGGATTGAGTGACCAAATTATTTTCATTTTTTGAAGGGATTATTACCCAGAAAGCGATCCGCCAATTGACGAGCTGTAGGCACCAGAGACAGTTTTGTGGTTTGTTTTGCAAAAAGTAGCTCGCAGAGGATTTCCCCCCAACACACACAGACACACATACCAACTTAATTGTTACATTCCCTTTAATAAAAAGAAACTCGTTAAATACGGATCACAGAAAATACGCCCTAAAGTAAAATGTTGCATCCAGATTGAAAAACAACACTCTTCCTGTCAATGATTTGGTGAGTTTTCCTACACGTACACACGCACTGATATGCCACAAAAATGCAGTCAATTCACTACAGTATATCCTACGAAGCCCTGTGAGACGTCTCAAAGACGTGATAAGGCACCGTATCAAATGCAAGGATTATTATTAAAATCAAATTAGTGAAATCGGACACAATGTCAACCCCTCCAATACACTGGAGAGAAACATTGGAATACAACAACAACAACAACAAGATTCCATTTATAAAGCGCCTTTCACGTCAGGAGGACGTCCCAAGGCGCTGCACAGTTGGGTCATGACCCGAGCAGGGGGGAAATGGTCAGGGTGAGGAGGGAGAGGGAGGGAGCGAGGAGGGGGGAAATGGTCAGGGTGAGGGGAGGGAGGGAGCGAGGAGGGGGGAAATGGTCAGGGTGAGGGGAGGGAAGGGAGGGAGCGAGGAGGGGGAAGAGAGTCGAGAGGGGAGCTGAAGGCTCGGTCAAAGAATAGCTACCACTTGTTGCAAGCCCCCTCTAATCGGGCTGTGCAATGACTCATTACCTCGCCCGCCTTCAGAGTCTGCCCCAGGGTGGTTATTTCCAAGCCATTGTACTTCACTTTCATAGCAGTTTCTGGTTGCACGTCCGCATCGCTCAATTGCATAACTGTGTCCCAATCAGCTATCTTTGCCAGGTTCATCTTGCTCCTGCTGTTGTGGCTGCAATGAGCCTGAGTGGGAGTCTCAGCCCTTTAAATGCACTGAACGTGGGGAGTCCTGCATTAAGTGTGGGCAGCCCCAGTGCCTGATTGGTTCACGGGTGAGGGGTGTTGTATAGAGACCACTGTCAGCACTGGAAAGGCAATCCAAGAGCCTGATCTGGACACCCCCACCCCCTCGGCCTGATAATGGAGCGTTGCCTACCCTAGCTGATAATTTGTGGAATCTCTTAGCATAGTGGTTAGCGTGCTCGCCTCGCCCGGGTTCGATTCCCGAAATCTTAAGTTCCCTTAAAACCACACACCAGCGGTGGGTAGGAACCTGGTTGTTAGTCGATTTGCTGATCGCTTTCCGGGGGGGTAATAATCTCTCCAAAATCACTCACACCACGACTATATTGTGGGACACAGCTGTGTGTAATTGGCTGCCGTGGTTCACCCACAAATTATACAGTGAGTCCACTTTACAATATATTCTGCACTTTGAGACGTCTCGTCGACATGATAAGGTACTATATCAAATGTACGGATTATTTCCATAAATCACGAACCCAATTTGTAAAATGCAGCAAGCAAAAGTGAACGTAATTTGGGAAATATAGTTGCTTCTTTGAGAGTTTTTTTGTCATTATCCCTTTTTTGGTAAGTTGACTTGACTATTTTGTAGAATGCTGATAACAGGAGGAGAATATACATTTATAGAGCACCTTTCACATTGAGAGGATGTTGCAAGGCGTTTGGACAGTTGAGAGTTTGCACCGAGATGGTTGGATTCAAGAGGGAAGGGACAATGATCTTATTAACCTGCGCTTGAATGCTGACACACTGAACAATGTTCTGTCTCCAACTTGTTGTAATGATAATAATCTCATCTTCGGTGTCAGCTCGGCTCAGTGGCTCGCACTCTCGCCTCTGAGTCATCAGATTGTGCGTTCAAACACCTTTGAACTTTAGGCTGACACTCCAATACAGTGTTAGAGGAAAGCAGCACTGTCTGAGGTGCTGACCTTCAGGTGGACTTTAAAGATCCCTATTCAATCACTCTTCGAAAGATAAGGGAATGTCTCCTCGTGTCCTGGCCAACAATTCCCTAGATAAAAGCAGTCACTCGCTTCACGACTATTTGGGGACATTTGCTGTGTTCGTCTCATAGAATGTACCAACTGCATTTTACAGTAAATCCTGCGAAACACTTTGAGGCAACCTCCTGACGCGAAAGGTGCTGTACCAAATGCAAGGATTATTTATCTGGCCAATGCACGTAAAACTTTACAGCTGTATAAGATTTCTGTTCAAAGCAGTCAACAAATTTACCACAATCTTTCACTGTTCTGTGAATGACTGAAGAACAGAATGTATTTTGTTGCAAGATTAAAAAAAACTGTACCACAACTTTGTGCAACGTTGCAGCACATTCGGTCTGAGAACCGAACGAAAAGTACCTTTGCCGTTGTCATTTAAAGGATATATTTTTAACATGACATTGGAGGAGAAACTCCCTTCTTGTTGAATGGTGCCGTGGGGCAAAGGGATGGTGTGCGCAGAAAAGCAACACTGAAGATTACAGAGGGAGGCTGGGGTGTAGTTGTTGTAATAATAATAATACCATAATAATCCTTGCATATGACATAGCTCCTTATTACATCGTTAAGACATCTCAAAGCGCTTCAAAGAATGGTTTGTAAAGTGGATTTCAATGATTTAAAATTAATATTTATTGTAGGCATTTGAAGGCAATGATGCGGATCATGAGTTTGACCAAAAACAACAACAGATTGGATTTATATAGCGCCCTCCACGCCGGACGGCGTCTCAGAGCGCTTCACAGTAACGGATCCCGGGGCTGAGTTGGGGGGAGGGGGAGGAAGGTGACCAAGGGTGCAGTCGAAAAGAAAAGTCTTCAGCCGAGACCTGTAAATAGGAGCAGAGGGGGCGAGGCGAAGGGAGTGAGGAAGGCAGTTCCAGAGCCTCTGGGCGTAGTGGCTTTATAAATGGAATCTTGTTGTTGTTGTTGTTATTGAAGGCACGGCCGCCGAGGGTGGAGCGGAGGATTTCAGGGAACAAGGAGGAGGCCAGACCCGGTGGAGCGAAGGCAACAGGCACTGTTGTGAGGAGAGAGGAGGTCAGAGAGGTCGGGGGGTGCAGAGGAGTGGAGGGATTTGAAGACAAGAGTGAGGATCTTGAAATCGATCCTCTCTGGGACAGGCAGCCAGTGCAGTCTGGCCAGGACTGGGGTAATCGGGGAGCAGAGTTTGGTGCGGGTGAGAATGTGGGCAGCAGAGTTCTGGATGACTTGGATTTTATGAATGGTAGTGGAGGGGAGTCCGGTAAGGAGGGCATTTGAAAAGTCCAGCCAAGAGGTGACAAAGGCATAGACCAGGGTTTCGGCAGCTTTTGGGGTGAGCTATTGGCGGAGACGGGCAATGCGTCAGAGGTGGAAGAAAGTGGTGCTGATGAGGGACCGGATGTGGTGGAGAAGGATAATTGGGGGTCGAACCTGACGCCCAGGTTGCATACGGGTTCGGAGAGTTTTAGTGGGAGGTCAGGTAGGTGGAGGAGGTGAGAACCATGCGATTTAAGACGTTGGCGAGAGCCAAAGAGTATGGCTTCCGCCTTGTCAACGATTAGCTGAAGGAAATTCGCGATCATCCAGTTCCTGATGTCTGACAGAACATCAGGGGACTGGGGGTCGCAAAGTGAGGTGGAAAAATAGAGTTGGGTGTCGTCCACATACATATGGGGAAGTGTATTTCATGTCTGCAGATGACATTTCCAAGAGGGAGCATATAGATTAGGAAGAAGAGGGGGCCAAGGATGGATCCTTGGGGTACCCCGCAGGTTACCGGGTATGAGCGGGAGGAAAAGCCTTTTGTGCAGATGTACTGCTGGCGGTTCGTGAGGTAGGACTCGAACCTGGCGAGTGCGGTCCCACTGAGGTGGATGACGGAGGAAAGGCGGTGGAGGAGGATGGAGTGATCAACTGTGTCGAAAGCGGTGGAGAGGTCCAGGAGACAAGGAGGCAGAGGAAGCCCTGGTCACAGATAGAGAGGGTGTCGTTTGAGACATTCACAAGCGCAGTCTCTGTACTGTGGGCAGGGCGGAAACTGGACTGGAGGGGTTCGAAGAGTGAGTGGGAGGAGAGGTCTGTGCGGAGTTGATTGGCAATAACCCGTTCTAGGACTTTGGTGAGGAAGAGCAAATTTGAAGTAGGGCGGTAGTGGCTGGGGATTGAGGAATCTAGGGAAGGTTTTTTGAGGAGGGGGAGGTGATGACAGCAGTTTTGAGGGGGGTAGGGACTGATCCAGAGGAGAGGGACGGTTGATGACATCAGCCAGTAGTGGGCAGAGGAGGGGGAGCTGGGTGACCAGCAAGTTGGTGGGGAGGGAGTCGAGGCAGCAAGTGGTGGGTTTCATTGAAGTCATGAAGTTTTATTGAAGACCAGCACTGCTTTGGGATAGAAAACTAGTGGACCCTGGTAAGGGTGGGGGTTTGGGATGCTTGAAGCCTTGGTGTGAAGATAATTTGAGACTTTCCTCCTTTGTGGGGAGGGAGGTGGGGTTTCCTTGGGACTGAGCTGGTGACCTGCTTGGCCTTGACCTTGATCCAGTCTTTTGCTCATATAATCATTTTCTGCTGTGGCAGACGATGTGTGTATACTGTATGTGAATCTTGGGACCCAAGTAGCACAATACGCCAAGGTACTATCACATATATTGTATAGATGGAATTCAGGAGAGCTTTTACTTATTTTCATAAAGTATTTTAATGGTTCCTCAAATTAATTTTTTAAATGACTTTTCGTTCAGTAAATGGAAGTAAATCTGGGTGTCAATGGGATCTTCTATTGGAATTTTCCATCTCGACCATAAATGTTGCTTACTCATACTTACAAGCTGTGTATTTTCTTACCAAACAAATCCGTAAGATGCTTTACTATTGCATGCACATTCCAATTTTTTTCAGGTAAAATAGCATGACTCTGTCAAAGCAAAAATGAGCTTTTAATCATATTTGTAAATAAAAGTGCTCACCACAGTATGTTGAATTATTTGGGCAGATTCTGTACTGAAATCTGCACTTTCCGCTTCACAGCAATGTTGAATATGAAACCTGTGTGACCAGGGAATCACTGTTATCTGAGAATTTGTGACTTTATATTTTTGCCTAATCATGTACCTATGTTGCTGAGGTGTTTGGGGCCAATTTGGCTTAAGAGATTCAGTGCGGACAGAAGCCATGAACCGTACAATGAAAGTACAAACTGAAGAACAAATGTGCATTCATTCCATCAATGGCATAAAATACAAATGGAAATAGAAAGACTTGGTTGGCTCAGCATCCACGATGCCCAAATAGTGCAAGACATAAAAAACAAAGCGAACATCATGCTGATGTTACCAAATCATTCTGAGTGCCAGAAAGTGTGCCAGAGCTGAACATCATTCTGAGTCTGGTCACCTTTGGATTGCTGTGTATAATTGCGACTTGAGGCGCTATGACAGCACAAAGATAGGGAGTGAACAACTGGGGAAGCTACCTCAGCCTCGAAAAGAACCCTCTCGGACATAACCTTTATAGAGGTATATCAGAAATATTATAGCGGAGGGATATTAGGTGCTAGGTAAAGTAAAGCAAGAACAATCATTGTCCTATAAACCAAAACAGGAAGTCACTAGTTCAGGGGCAGGTTGTAAGAGCTCCAGTCTATGACCAATGCCTAAGACAAGTCAAACAGCTAGTGATTTACCAGGCAGGGTAATTGAGACTTGCAGACTTTAAGTGTGGTATTGTGTTCATAGATATCTCAAAGGTTGCCCATTTTCATGAAGGCCTCAATTACAGGAGGAGCATTGACACTATGCAGAAGAAGAATTGGGCAGAAAGATGCGTGGGCCTGCAGGAGAGTTCCACACAGGGGAAGAGCTGGACAGGGTGAGGCAAGAAAATCTGGGTGACTAGAAAAGGTAAAGGGCAGAGACTGAGTGGGCAAAGGGGAAGAGTATCAACAAGGCTGGGAGGCGACAGCAATGGTCAAAGCAAGAGAACAGCGGTTTGAATAGGAAACTGGTCAATGAGCCGAGATGAATGAGGGCTGCAGTACAATCAATAAGGTTGGGAAGCAGATTAGCAGGAGCTGAGGGGAAGGAGGAAGATTAACCATGGCACTGAACTGCAATAGGGATTCACAAATGGCAAATCTTTTGACTGGAACCAAAATCATTTTGATCCGAACTGCACATATTTCAGCCTTCAGTAAAATCGATGAATCGGATAAGCGGAACCTCGTCTTGAGTACAAATAGCAAGTGCTTTGTGAAACATTTTCTTGTTGGATGATAGTAACATGACAGTTAGCTACAGCGGGATCACTTCCTAGGCTACATTTATACAATTGTGTACCCGCATGTGTGTGTGTGTTGAAAGCAGTTTAATATCCAAATGGCTACCCCCAAAACATTTTCTATGTCTGCCAATGAAGCGAGAAACTGGGCGAAAACAAAAGTTTATATTTTCAATGCTGCAATGCTTTCCTAGCCTTACATAAAGAACTTGTATTTTCATAGCTCTTCGTTATATTCAAATATGATGCTGTGGGTCATATTGCTCTGAAGTACAGTGCTTTTTTCTTTTTGAGTGAACGATCTAGACTTTTGCAGTAGCAAAGTGCAACAACTGCCAAGAGGTGAACGGTCAGTCAACCTGGAAGAATTGTTGGTCAGACTACCGGCAGAAACTCATAGCTATCTCTTCGATTTCTCCACGGTCCGCTTGACTTTGCCTCTCCGGACGGGTTGCAGTTGTTTTCATACAGTGGCACCTAGACTCTTAATGCCCTCAGTTGGTTACTGGACTATAATGTTGAGTTTCGTCTATTCAGCTGCTACAAACCTCAAAATCAAGTATATAATTCCAAAGCTTTGTTTTGGCTGTCAACTGCCAGGTCACTTTAACATCTATCA